ATTGGCAGCCTTTTAAAAGATATTGTTTGGCTCATATTTGTTTCTTTTAAATAGATGGAAGTGATTTAAAACTGTAGCAGCATCTTGAAGTAAGTTACAATCACTTTTTCTCTTCTTTCTCTTGAATTGAACATCTAATAAATTATAAAGAGACAGTGAAAAATCTGATCCAGCAAATATAGTGAATCGATAGTGTTTTAGACATTGTAGGCTTAGTGTACAGATCTAAATGTTGAATTTTCATCAGTCTGGTTTATGGATACTTGACCGAGCTGGCACCTGTGAGTTTTCAGTCGACTTTGTTGGACGTGAAATAGAATCCTCTTAATCATAATTAGTACAACAGAAGCATAGCAATGTAAAGACACAAATTCCCAGTTATCTAATAGATAAATAACAGGTTTAATTGTTGGTTCAATCCACTATAGCTGTATTGTACAGAGGACATAACAGTTTTTGAGGAACAGGATCGCTCTAACCAGATGTTTGTTATAAATATTTTATACTAATCTCCTTCAAAATATGTTCAGTTAGCTATTAGCAGAAAACCATTTAGCTTGTAGATGGCTACATTTAGACACTTTGACATGTATAGCTTTACAAGAGTTGTCTGCGGAAAGGACATAGATGGGGCTATCATAAACCAGTTAAAAAAATACATACTGTACTGATGGCAATTTTATGGATGGGGTAGTGTAACTCTTTGTTAATTATGTAATTGATTGATCAATGTATGTTAGAACCATGTAAATCACTTTAAGTACAGCTTCTCTGTGCGCCACTTGCTTTCGCAGCTTTTCTGCCACTACAATGCCTGCACAACTGCCGTGATGTAACTGTGACGTCTAGTCCAAATCTGTGAATTGAATATATTAATGGTGTGTTACACGTTGTTAGCACATGTTTCCAATTAGTATTGAAACAAGCTGTTGGATCATAAAGGGCAATTGCCACTCATTCACAAACACACCCACACCTTCAAACACATATCTCACTCAATAACAATCTATTACTCTTGGCTCTGGCAGGCCTGCCCGTCATTTAGATCACTTCCGTAATTGAATGAATTAAGAATTTCTCTATTAACCTTCAGAGCGGGGGTGGTGGGGGGGTTCATGAGAATATATTAATGGTGTGTTACACGTTGTTAGCACATGTTTCCAATTAGTATTGAAACAAGCTGTTGGATCATAAAGGGCAATTGCCACTCATTCACAAACACACCCACACCTTCAAACACATATCTCACTCAATAACAATCTATTACTCTTGGCTCTGGCAGGCCTGCCCGTCATTTAGATCACTTCCGTAATTGAATGAATTAAGAATTTCTCTATTAACCTTCAGAGCGGGGGTGGTGGGGGGGTTCATGAAAAGCATCTGTGTTAACATGCACAGTTCAGTACACATGCATGGATACAAGAAAAAGTAGTGTACTATCACAATGAAGGCATTTCTTTCCAACTGTAAAATGTCATTTATCTACCTAAACTTACATGACCAAAGCTCAGACTAACGGTAGTAAAGTTGAGAGGATGAGAGAGAAAAGCTTTTTTTTTTTTTTAACTTTATTAATCCAAAATCCAATCAGGCTGAGGTAGATGGGAAAAAATACCTGTCATCCATGAAAGAAAAACCCACACAAAAACACACTCTTGATCACTCTACTGTAGAAACATGATTATTCAGCCTTAAGTTGAAATCACTGTCTGCTGCATGCATGCGTTTTACAAGTCACACATTTTGTTTTGAAGAGTAGAGAGTGCTTTAAAGCATGACGCTGAATGCATTACAGGAAGCAAAAGAGTTGAAAACAGCCTATGTTTGGATTATTTACTATTTTATATGGACAGACAAGCATATGCAAGATGAGAGTACCATCTGCGGATAAATCACGTGTTGTTTCTTTATCTGGTTGCAGATCCATATCCTAAGTGCATGGATGACATACAGGAAAGGTAGGTTGGAGTCCAGTAAATTTCTAGCGCAGGCAGAGAGCCAGTCAGCTGGAGGAGAAGCATGAGGAGAGGGATCATTTAACGCTGTGTCTCTCATTTACAGCAGCTCTGAAGAGGATCTCTGACCTTGATTACCCTGAGACAGGGAGCACAGCACAGAACACCAGGCTGCCACACCCACATGGGGTGGCACTGTGGCATCTCGCTCAGAAAAAATGATGCACACACTTTTAACAACAACCTAGTGGGGATTCCTTGGCTTTAGAGCCAGACTCAATTGGACAACAAATAACTGCATTTTTTTGCATTTCTGCATTGGATTAATTTTTCTACAATGAAGATTGCAGGATGCTGAGAGCATAACTCCAGAAGCCTGACAGGATACAAGTGGAGTACTATCCAAAATAAGGCATTTTATCAGTCAAAGTGAATCCCGTCTAGCAGCACTAACAGCACAGCTCCTTAAACTGTTTTTGTTTTTTAACCCTCGTTCTGAGGACATTATTTTTTTTTAAACTGAAGGTTGTTTGACTCGAGGGCTTGTGTCTGCAGGTCATCAGGACTCGACTGGTTCTGGTCTCCTGTAACTTAAGGTGCAGCTATGAGTGTAATTTAAGTTTTTAACTATTGTAAATACTTTATTAGACTCCTTGTCTTTGTAATATAGCAATAAGTAAGGTCTTTTACCTGCTTTTTGTAACATAACAATGAGTAAGGTCTTTTTACCTGCTCTTTTGTAATGTTAACAGACAAAGAGTAAGGTATTTTACCTGCTTTTTGTAAAGTGTCTTGAGATAACACTTGTTATGAGTTGACGCTATACAAATAAATTGAATTGAATTGAATTGAATTATAGATAAAAGTGATGATGCAACATTCGATAGCCTCCACCAGGACTCAACAGTAACAGATTTCCTCCTTTACTCCTCTGCAGTTTAGAAGTATTTGTACTTTGATAAAGTCATTTATATTACTGATCAAACAAGTCTAAGTGGTATCTTCCACTAGAGTTTCTGTGGCCATTGGCTTCAAGCAGAAGAACCGTCCATTTAGTGAGCAAAAGAGACAGAATGCATGGACTGTGATGCAATCCTGGACATATTAGCTATGATGACTATTTAGCTGATCTCTACATAACCAGATGTTTGCATATAACATTCATGGTTTTGACATTGCCTCTCAGCCCCAACTTAACTCTCTTCTCAAGTTGTGAGTTGGACTGCGAACATTGATGACTGAGTCCTGGCCTGGATAGTTTCGATTGATTTTTGGCGTAACCCCCTGCTACACTAGAAGCCCTGAAAAATTGGCTGTTGCTCTCGGGAGCTATATCAATGTCAGACAAGAGCTGATGAGATCAGCGCTAACATTTAAGTAAAGCACATCAAATCCAATGGTATTTTACTGTTCTAAAAGGGACTTATCAGCTAAATTTGGGTACTGGAGGCATTTTTATGCTAACTCTTCTGCTCACTTAAAGTTAAATGTAAATGACCCTTACTTGTGACAGAGTATGACTACAGTGTGCTGGGATATTGTTCTTTTAACATACGTAAGCGGTAGCTCTTTTGTCACTGGCCTTGACGGAGATAGAGGAGAGTGTGTGTGCGCAAGCGTGTGTGCATGTGTGTGTTAAGAGGGGAGAGAGACAGAAAAATATGGCCAGGGATAAAATGAGAAAGAGGGGTGGGACAGGAGAAACAACAGTGTTGTCTCACAGGGTCAGTGGGTGTGTGATCCATCTGTTCCTGAGAAAACTAAAACAGAGTGTCTTCAGGAGTGTATGGCAGGCATCAATGTCACCGATCATCTTGCAAAAAACTGAAAGAAAAAAAACAGCTCTTATTTCTGAGCAACAACAGTGTCAGACAGCTCACAAGAGGAGGCATGAGGGAGAATTTATCTTGTCTGCTCATCTTCCCGAACAACAGTAAAGTGATGTTCAGGAAATAGTTTAAAATGATTTGCAGTGCACCTTTCGATGCTACGACATTAAGTAACAGTCATCCACTGACATCTTTTGGGACCTACTAGGTTACTTTAAAAGGCCAGATAACGCTGATGTGAACTTACTTTAAATCCTTATCTGTGTACCTGCGCACCTGCACAATCATTCAATGATAAATAAAACATTTCCAGGCTAGTTCAGTAACCATGATTATTCTCTTTTAATAATGTCATATATAGTTTTGTATTTGTTGCACTTCGAATCAGGGGTGGATCCAGACATTTTGAATGCGGTGGCCGAACTGGGGCATTATCTTATGCAGGAGTTCCATGAGCTATTATTTTCTAGTTCAAAATCTGCTTCAGGGAGGCATTTGAAGGGAACTATTAGGCTTCAAGAGGTTGACTGATCAAGTGAGTCGGTCAAAAGTTTCAAGAGAAATTAACACACCTTTAATAAAGAGTTTTCATGAACGGTCTGGTTACATAATTGTTTTTCATGGAGCTCAAGTGTTGCACAACTTGTTCTCTAGAGAGTATAACTTTCATGCCAGCATGTGTTAAAAATATTTGTTGTAATAGTCTGCCAATCAGCACATGGCCATAAGCTGCCAGCCAGGTAGAGAAAATGAAGGACATCTGAGAGGAGAAGTAAAGGAGAGAGAGAGAGAGAGAGAGGGAGAGAGAGATGGCAAAAGAAGAGACTAAATGAAGTGCTGCTTTGAATAGCAGAAAATGGCTCATTTTTTATCCCTCATTTCTGCTTTCTGTACACTTGCATGTCTCCTGGGTTTAACTAGAGAGAGTTTAATTGAGGATGGTCCAGTGTGGGTGTGTGTGTGTGTCCGTCTGTGTGTGTGTGTGTGTGTGTGAAGCCTCAACCTTAAATAAATTCTATTCCCCGAACTGCAAATAACACACCTTTTTCTCTCCATGGGGGATACATTTTGTACTCTGTTTTTGCAGTCATTTTTCTGCCTGACATATGAAATGACTTTAAAAAAAAAACACTTCAATCTCAACCAACTCACATTCATAAACACACACATTCACAAACACACACACACACACACACACACACACCGCAGATTTTGCTTACCACCATCTTGTTGAGGGAGACCCAGCAGTCAGAGGGGAAGTCCTGCAGCATGGGAACGAGGAACTGAAGACAGCCATCCCAGTGACACAGCAGCAGCATCATACCAATCAGGTTGAAAATTCGCATCACAGCACTGGCCAAGTCATAGGTCATGTGGAAGATCTGTCAGGAGGAGAGGAGATGGGCAGACCGAGGGAGACAGGAGGAAGAAGAAAAAAAACAGAGATAGATGTGTGAGCGGAATAAAAAGCAGTTTTCTACTTCTTCTGAAAATGTTGAATATGTTTTGATAGATATCACACAAAGGGGGATTTCAGTGATCTGCTAAGTTAAGCGTAATTAACAGAAAACATGTTTCACTCTGTATTTTAAATTTATTAATAACAAAAAAATCAAGTAGTTGAGTTGTACATTGCAGGAAGAACTCATTCTGAGCTTCATCAATAATTCAAAGTGACATTTTATTTCTTCATGTGTCAAACGGCATGCCAACAGTATAAGTCTCCTAATGCATTTTTCACTGTCACTACGCTGTAGTTTGGCTAACATTCTCTTCCAGCAATGTTTTTATTAGCAATTTAAACACAATTAAATTGCAGATACAACATTCACATATTGCCATGTTTTTAAGTTTGATTTTGACGTTCTGTTAGCATAGCTCACTGTGGTCTATTTATAGATTAGCAGCATTAACATGAATTTAGAGTTTTGTTTCTGGACACCTGGTTAATTATTTCCAGTATTCACATTTTTAAAGCTCTATTTTTGTTGTTAGCTGCTTGTTTGCTTTGTTTGTGTGTGCTTTGATGCTAGGCAGACAGTAAATGGAGGGTTTCTAGAACTTTTGAAAAAAAAAAACATCTGTCTGCTGTGTCTGGAAATGAAAATAAAAGAGAATTTAAACAAAGTGAACCATGAGAGTAACAGATAGGGCTGCTGAATGAATCACAATTTGATCCTTGTTACAATATGAACATTGCAAAAGTCGGAATTTATCACAGAGTAAGAATTGTGAAGGAAAAACGAGATCATAACATATTAATGGAAAAAGTAATGTTGATGGATATGTACTGTTAACACTCAGGTACACAAATACAGACAGATACATAACAGTATGACAACATGAGGTATGCACTGTGATTCCTCACTGTGATTTTAAATGTAACTTGAGCTGTTTTTACGTTCTGTCTTTTGGGTGTGATTTGATCGGGATGCAAGGCTATCTGAGCTTGTAATGTAAGACTAATTTCCGTGCAAACAGACAATAAAGTGTTATCTTATCTTATCTTAATCAGTAGGTAAGTGAGGGTTTTGCAAGGTGTGCTGTCTGTCACTTCTCCATTTTTCTATTAATGTGTCAGGCTGAGATGGGAAACAAATGAACAAGCATACTCTTTGGTCTGCACTCATTCATGATCAAGCTCAATCAAAGCGTAAATCAAAAGAACGGGCAGACCTTTCTTTTCTGCTCATAAGGCTTACTCCTCTCAGGTAAGACGTCTCATTTGTGTGGTGACAGCCTCGTACACTAAACGCACACTGTGGTCATGCTGGCTGATGGTGAGGCCTTGTTATCACTCTGTGTCTGAGTATGAGGGTACATTAACATGCATGTGTGCATTGGTGGGTAATCCTTGTTTAGCTGGGCCAACTGGAGGCTTCGCTAAACTGCATGCAAACGCTAACCGCTCACTAGGGACATCAAACTGGCTTACACGGGAAGTAGGCCAGATGCTGCACATATATGAATATTATATATAGATACTCATGAATACTGGAAGCACTTTTATGAGCCAATTTGATGGTTTCTTTTATTTAAAAAAGCTTCTTTCTCACTTGAGACTTCAGAATCGTCCTGCATGTGAACTAGGCCAGATACTGCGAGTGTGTGTCTGGAGACGTGAACAAGCATACTCTGTTGTGAATTTACAGTTTTTTAGGAGCAGCCAAGTTGGGACTTGCGGTGACTCATCCCGTCACCTCAGAGACCTCGCTGCCATAAATCCAGCGCTCTCTTGAATATCAAACTGTGCCTCCTACAGAACCCTTGGGTGCCAGTGTCCCTTGTTAATTTCAGTTCCAAAACAAAGCCAACCAGTGCAACATATTCCTCCATCCAAACCTGACCAACACACTTAATGCACTCTTACTCTGTGCAAAACTGTCTGATGCTTATCTGGATTACATTGTTCTAAATTATCAATGCGTAATTTTTTCGTACATGTTGCTTAACTTTGTTATTTGTGTTTTTACTTCCGATATCTCCTAATGCTATATTTGCTGTATAAGACCAATGAGCAACTGTGACACACAGCTTTCTGAGGTTTCTTCTTAAGAGCTCCTGTGAGGAGTTTTGAGTTGCTTTTGAAACAGAATGAAATGAATATTGATGCCTCTTCTTTAAGACTTAGAAAAGCAAAGAAGACCATCAGGAATGAGATTATCTATTTCGCTGCCCAAAGCTGCCTTTCTTTTATTTGTACATGTTCCATTTTTAAAGCTTCAGTCACACTCTTGACTGTTAAAAGAAAGCAGGATGAGATTTTTTTGTTGAAAAAACTTTTTATGCATGTTCAGGTTACAATCCAGCAAAAACAAACTGTAAGACGTACCCCTTACTCCACAGGAGGTACAAAATAAACATCAATTTAAAGTTCTTCTAGATCTGTAAATATAGGAGCTTTGGTAGAGCAAAACTAAGGCTATAAATGCTAAAAATACTATTCGCTACTCTATTTTTAGTATCTTCTGTAACGGCTAATGGCCTTCGCTAATTTGGAGAGGTTGAATGGTAAATACACCGTGAGGCCCTGCCCTGTGATAAAGAAACATCCCAATCATGATTAATGAGGCTCCCGGACTAATGTTCCCCCCGACACCGGAACAGCACCTGGCCGTGTGTCACTGTCACACCGCAATGTGGGTCAACAACATTACAGAGACCACCACTCACAGCCTGAAACCCACAGATAGACTACTTTCTATTCTCTGCTGCACATGGATAATTACTCTGTGATCTGGACAATTTGAATAAAGTTATTTGGGGGAAACTATTGAACCTGATGAGTTTAATCCCCACTACCAATCTCCACTGATAAACATGGACTCCATCAATTCACCATCATTGTGTAGCTCAGGTAGAAGGCATCCTCTGGGCAAGTGGAGAGCCTTGATAGAAGCTTCCTGCCTCAGGAAATTGCTCTGGTTATTCCTGACCATGCTTATCTCTGCACACAACACACACACAAATATATCCAAAGATCACATCAAAACTACATATAGGGCATTCCTTTTTAATTAAAGAGTTTTTCTAAAGCAGTCTCTTCTTCGCCTACAGCTAAGCTAAACAGTAAAATCATCACAACACTAAGATGATCTTATAGGAAACCCCCTCTGAAGCAAGCTTAGCTGAGCTGAGCTGAGCCGAGGTGAGCCAGGCAGAGGTGAAACACAGCCAGCCGTGTTTGGATCGCGCTGAGCAGAGCAGAGCTCAGGACTAAGCTGATTGGGGCAGGGCTGAGTTGGAGCAAAAGAGCATTCAGTTGTGAGTGTTTCTCAGTAATCAGGGCTCCCGTCAGGCTCAAATTACCACTCTGTAATCAGAAGAGTGCTGGTTATTTTCAGAGCTCGGAAACACACGTTTTATTCATAGATGCTGGGTTGGCCCAAATAGGGATCCTCCGTTTGTGTACACGAGCCCATGCACACAGCAGATGAGGGTTAATTGTGTTTGTGTGGCACATAAGGATATGACGGATGGTGCAGCTATCTATAGACAAATCTTATTTCCTGATGTGTAATGTCATCAGAAAGCAGTGTACTTGACTTAGCCAGCCTGTCAGCATCCATTTCCAGCTGTTAGATGTTTTGAGTGGTTGAAAAGCCACATTGGAAAAAAAATAAAAATAAAAATGAGGAAAGTGAATTTCTTGTTGTAAAAAGAAAAAAAAGTCAGTGAGTGCCCCTGGTGGTTGCGTTCGTTTCCCTGGAAAATCCCTTTTCATTTTCCCACTGATGAGCACAAATGAATGTTTCATGAATTCTTAACTACATCAGCACACTGTGCTGTGACGAGCTATTATCCAGCTATCAGGCTCATTGTTATACAACATGGTAAACCTTCTTTTCTGTGTGTCAGGAGGTAATTATGCAGCGCATTGTTTTGATGTACAAACAGAATTACTTGCATAGTGATTATAAACCACTGCACTGGAATCAAATTATTGTTTTATTAATTAGAGCACAGTCAGTGTAGATTCTCTTTTTACCGCTGCCAAAGAGGTTATGTGTTTGGTCTGTGCAAATGTCTGATTTTTTTTCTGCTGCAGGATTAAGGGGAAAACGCCTGGCCTGATTTTCATGAAACTTTGCATAAAGGTAGAGCATAGGCTAAGAAAGAACCCAGTAAAGTTTAGATCAGACTCATGAACAAGAAATTACAAGCTGGATCAGACACACAAACCAGTAAAGTTTCCTGCTTGTGAACAGAAAGTTTCCCTTACAATTATAAATGAAAACATGTCATGTACATGAAATTTTTTTTGGAAAAGCATTGATATTATACATCCGTGACAAGTTATCTCTGACTTTCAGAAGTGTATGTTTTACCTCTTACCTTAAAGAGTCTAATAGATGCTCAGTGGGTTTAATGATGATACAGGTTTGACAAACGGATACAAAGTGGTGGAGCTTGCAGATGTGCTAATAATACACTTAGACTAGTTTTGTATGGAAAACAGTTCAAAACGTTTGAGTAAACTGTTCTTATATCCCAACCTCTTCTGGCTTCTACTGAACACAGGCAATAGTCGATAAAGCCCTGAAGCCTTTGATCTGCTGTAAATAAAGGCTGCTCCAATTTGCCATTTAAACATCTCGATGTGGGACCTTACAACCAAGAAGCAACATGATCAAACAAAATAAAAGTTTAAATCAGGTTTTATTTAACTATCTTGAATTATTTGTTATTGATATAAAAATTGGGTTTAGTGAGATTTAGTCCAAAAGTATAGCCTCCCCATTTCAAAAAAATTAGTTGTTGAATTGTACAGATTGTGTACAAGTGAATCAATGTATCATTTTCATTGAACTGTTTAAGATTTAACAATATTGTTAAATAATATTGTTGCAGGCATTTTCATTTTGGTATAGGGTGATTCATCCATATCAGTCAGATTACAGTTGTAGAAGATTTAGAGGCTTAGATTAGCCTAACATCTTCTTTTGACACTGAGGTACCCTGCATATGATAAGGTTTTCCCCTCTTGTATTTCTTTCCATCTACTGCTTACACATGGTTTGTTTGTATGTGTTTCTTGCCGATATGCTCACCACATACAAACAGCAAAGATTAATTACTGCCTCCTTTCATTGAATTACAAATGTTGAATCCCAGCCTACCTCCTCCCATTGGTGGATGTAGCGGATGAGTCTGGACAGCCTCAGCAGTCGCAGCAGACTGAGGATCTTAGTGAAGCGGACGATGCGGAGCGCTCGGGCCGTCTTGTACACCTCTGAGTCGATGCCCTTCTCCACAATGAGGAAGATATAATCCACAGGTATGGAGGAGACAAAGTCCACCACGAACCAGGTCTTCAGGTACTTCTTCTTAATCTTCTCAGGGTCCAGGATGATCTCTGTGTTGTCCTCGAACACAATGCCAGTCCTGAAGTTCAGCACCAGGTCCATGAGGAAAAAGGTGTCAGAGACCACGTTGAAGATGATCCAGGGTGTGGTGGTCTCGTCCTTGAAGAAGGTGATGCCCACAGGGATGATGATCAGGTTTCCCACCATAAACATGAGCATGCTGAAGTCCCAGTAGAACCTGATGGGGGGGAAATCAGCAGGGAGAAGGGAGTTAGAGACTGAGCAGGGATCTATTTAAGCTCTGATCCCTAAAGAAAATCCTGATTTTTCATTTTGTACACTGTATCTTCTCCTGGTGATGTAAACTATACCCCCGATTCAAGCCAAAGTCAAGCCAATGACAAGCAGAGAGACAGAGATACTACAGGAAAGATAAGCTCCCAAGAAGAACAACAGGCAGTAGCACCCATAACACAAAACCTCTGACAGAGTAAATGTCAGCACTTATCACAGCTATAGTTCTGTGTAACTGAGTCATAGTTGATTCCATTGGTGCATGAACAGCCTTTATATGATGTTGCTTTGATTGGCAAGCAGTGCGGCATTAGTCACTAAACCAAACATTATTTATAGACTATGTTTTATTGAATCATTCATCACGAAAGCAATATTTTTAAATGTACTCTGTTTTAGCTTTTCACAGGTGACGATTATGCTGCAGATATGTATCACAACATCTGAAGAAAAAATACGTAAGATATATAAGACATGTGATATACCTTACATTTTGATGACCAAACAATTCATCAAAATGTGAGATGGATCTATCATACCATAGTTATGCTGCTGTCCCATCAACTTGAAGTTAGTGGGACGAAATTATTGAAGCGACGCCGAGTCATGACCCAACTCAAAAAATGTGCTATTGTTTAGTCTTGAATGCCCCCTGACATAATTACCCTTTAACAGAATAAATAACATTTGATCAAATAATGTTTTCAGAGCAAAAAAGTTAAGAGCAAAATAGAGGAATATGTTTTTTCACGCATACTGAGATGGTAAAATGAGCTCTCCTTGGTGCTGAAACAGATTTTCAGACACATTCCCATTCCAAAAATCTAACTTTTCCAACTTAACATCATGTTAAAAGCTCAAGAACCAAAGTGTTTGTGCAGGTCAGTTGCCTCTAATGCACATCTGTGTGGCAGCTGTGTATAGATTAGAAAGTGTAGGCAAAGAGTTCAACCAGATTTGAAATGGAGACTAAATGTGGAATCAGTTGGTTCTATAAACAAATGTGTCACAAAAATCTGTAATATAAGGAATAGACTTCCTTATTTCCTGCAATTATTGTTGTCAGCCTCAAAGAGGGCAAGTTGAACTTATTTTGCGTGAATAATAACTTTCAGTCTTCATCATTTTCTGATCACGGATTCATTCCTGATAATTCTATTTCCCATCTGTTTTTAGTCATATCTAAAAATGTGTATGTTTGTGTCAGTATATCCATAGCGAAGTTTATGAACTTCACTCAGTTTGACTCATACCTGAAGTCGCTGTATGGGTGTATGATCCAGTTACCCGCTGACTTCACGCGCTCTTGTTCTTTCTCCACTGCCTTCTGACTGCCAAACATGCGCAGGGAGAACTTGTTCACTCCAGGCTGAAGCATGGAGCTGAACTGCCGCTGCATGTACGTCTGATTCCCCCTGGAGTCTCCATCGTCCGGCACAATCTGAGAACCATCGTCAGCTTTGGAGAATGTCACGGAGTTTCTCGAGTGTTGGCTCGGAGTCTGTCCTTTACTAGCCGGGGTGTTGGAGAAGGAAACTCTGGAGTCCTTTTTCTCCATCGCTGCCGCACTCTTGACCTCGGCCCCGGGCCCCTGAGTCAAGGACCCAGCCGAAGTGATGGAGCCATCCATGACTGCAGCCTGCCCCTTACAGTCTTCGTCTTCTACTCCTCCATATGTCTGCCTTTCCTGCTTTGAGATCAGGGAGGAGAGGCTCCCTGAGCTGGTCGGGTCCCTTCTACAATCTCCGTTTTTGTTGCATATCATACCGATGGCTCTTTCTCCCCTCACGCCCGCCTCTGACACTGAGTCCCCAGACTGTGAGCCGTCAGCAGGAGCCCTCTGGCACAACAGAGCACAGGCTCTGATGCCACTGCCACTGACAGGTGCGGAGTCCTCGCCTCGCAGGAGCCACAGCTCATTGTTGTTGGAGTTTTTGCGCGCAATGGACGCGGCTCCGCCTACTGTCGTTAATTTCTTCATCGTGGTTCCGCTGCTCCCATCCTCGCTTACTTGACGTGCTAGTCGAGGGCGCAGGAATTTGGGCTCCTCCTCACCGTCATCCGCCTCGTCCATCACAGCCAGACGCACATACGGACACTCCCGTACCTTGGACCTGGCGAGACTGGGCGGCGGCGGTGGCGGAGGAGGAAGGGATGTAGAGTTCAGAGCAGCAGCGTCAACCCTCTCCTCTCCATCCACACCACTTTAAGGATAACAGCGCACCGGGGCCGTTGCTATGGCTGCAACCTGGCTCCTATTGTGTGTTTTTTTTTTTGGCTGTGTGTAATGTGTTTTGTGCGTGTGAACAGAAGAGAAAAGGACGGTGGACACAATTACGCCTGCAGGCACACTAACCACCTAGGCTACACAATACAGATAGTTTATAATTTAAAAAAAAATGAAACAACCAAAAAAGTGGATTTCCAAAAAAGGAAAGGCCCAATTAGGTGACAGTGTAACTAGAAAACTGTAAGATCATTTAAAAGCACACATTTCGGCAAAGTCAAAGGAATTCCAGGGGTGACATGAAGGTCACATGAAACCATCAACTTCTCCTTCGTTTATGTCCTACAATCAAGATGATCTTAAAATAGTATTCTAAATAGGCTAATAATCGAAATACGCTCCTGGTCATGGTGGTTATCGTAGTAAAAGCTGCTTTTTGACTTGTTTGAGGGGCTGTTTTAACAGCATGTGCCTGTTGCTTTAGGTTGAGAAGTCTCTCAGGGTGGTCCCGGCCTATAATTCCTGGTGAAAAGCCCCACCTTGTGGAAAAACATAAGTATGGCACACCTTATAGCCTCTTCCTCCTCCTCCATCGTTAGGACTAGGCCACTATTACATTTGTAGAAGGCGTGTTTTTCATGGCACCATGATGTCTTAGACAGATACTTTTTTTCCAATAACTTTGAAAACAAACATTTTTTGGATGACTAATTTGTAATATGTCCAAGGTATCAACTCTACTTTCCCCAAAACATATAGGGATAAAAATCAACAAACTTGGAAAAAGCTGACCCTTCTTTTTACACATAGACACCAAAAGAGGTAACCAAACACATCAGACTGATATCATAATTTAGGTAAGTCTTATCGCAAATTTACTTTCTTTCTTCTCTGTAGAACTTTCTCGTTGTTTGCAGAAGTGTAAAGAGTGCTGAACATCTGCTCAAGTAAACCTACTGTAGGCTACTGTTACATTACTAACTTTACTCAAATGCACTGTATTTATAACTGAACTGTTTTCATTTTCTTCTTTTCTTTTTCTTTATTTCTATCTGTTATTTCTAAAAGCTTCCCTGTGGACAGGTGTTTCAAATTAGCATTTTGCTAAAAACACTAAGAGTAGTGCCTGTGGGGCTTGTGTGTATTTAAATGTCACAGCACCAATGTTACTGAATGTCAAAGTCAAATAAACAAATACAGAAATAAGTAAAAGTACTGGTGTAAGGAAATACTCAAGTAAATGTAGGAAACCGTCTTCTTAAAAACTATTAGTTAGTTAGAGTATTAGTTACTTATTTTGTTAATGTAAGAACAGCAGACATTCAATAAAAGAGGGTTCTGCTTTTCCAAACCTTCAGTCTAAATTGGGCGACCTGTGCTGTTCTGTTCATTGGTCACAGTCACTTCTTCAAACAAATAAAATAAGTCTCAGAAATACTATATTCCATCTCTGCCAGCAGATTCTCAAGAATATTACACACTAGACCTTTAATTCAAATGTTACTTAGAAGGCTACCTTATTTAGATTTTCAAAGTGACCAAGTAGATGACATCATGTAAAGAGTAAACATAAAGACTTGAAAATATACTCATAGAAGTACAAGTACCCCAAAACACTACTTAATTATAGTAATTTGACTATTATATAACTTTCGCCCCTTGGTTTTTTTTTTTAACTTAAAAAAAAAAATGGTTATAAATAATTAGCTATTTGTGTAACACTACAACTCATTAGACTGCATCAAAGCTAAGTTCAGGCGTTCTTGAGTTCATAAAGCTTCATTAAGTTCCATTCACCCATTTTGCATGGTAATAATTATGTTAGAAAATCTCTGAGCAGTTTTCAGCTTCAGTAAAAAAAAACTGACCGACATTAATATCGATGCCTCTAATTGAGAACAAATGACAAAAATGACCGTTAGAGACAAGCTTGATCATTTCAGACGAAGTGAGTCAGTGAGTGACTTGCAGGGTCTTTTTTTTTTTTTATCAGAAAACTATTTTCACATTAAGCACAATATCCAAGAAGAGATTAGCGGTACTGCTTTATCCACAGGGGGGCGCCAAAATTGATGCAAGCCACAAGTTCCTCAAAGGAGCTTTAAGGATCAGCTGACACTGAACTGATTCTTCTACCTACAGCTTCTTTTGTAAGGCGAACAATCTACAAATCGTCAGCCATGTTCAGAATAAACATCAAATGTCAGATGGTAAGTTCAGATAATTTAATAACGGCTGTCAAACTATTTCTACATGTATTTGACTGTTTTCTTTTGAATAGTTATTCCTGTATACACTCACGGCATTTCTTTCCAGGACTTTAAATCCGATAATGATGAAGATCTTTGCATCTACTGTATGAGGGGCCACAAGCAGGGCCTTTTGACCTGCTTTTCTAAACCAACCTTTGACATGCAAAACAGTTAAACATGTGACCAGACTTAAAACCAAAAATCTTTATTCAGTCTGTGCAAAGCTGTCAAACAGATGTTATTCCATACTCTGAAAGTACAACAGATTACACAAGTGTGTCTAGGTCTTTTTTATTCGTATAGAATACATCCAATCACATCAATACTCAGTTAAATGAAACATATGGCTTCTGAATGGTCTACACAGTGAAGGGAACAGAGATGGTGGTCCAACAACTGCACACAGATGTTTTAGCTCAGGTCACAGTGAGCGAGAAAGACATCTTCTCCTGTATTACATTTTAAATCTGTGAATTCTACAGAAATAACAAATGTTACATTTCTTGCATTGGTCCTTAATCATGTTTTTTTTTTACTGTGCATGTGACATCAGGTAGCTAAAAGTTGCAAACAGCACTGAATGGGGACCAAGCAGGCTGCTAGCATTAGGATGTGCGTTTCTTAGTTGACAAGAAGTCAAATGTTCCAACATTTTTCATAAAAACATCTGTAAATAATTTTTCACTGATTCATAAATTATATTCAAATGACTGAGAACAGCCAAAATATTGATTCTTCTGGTTTTGGATATAGTGTTTGATTTTGGTGTAAAATTATTTTGCAAAAGTTGGTGAAATATAAATGTTGTGCACACAATAGTGATTACAACAAGACAGTGAATGGCAGTGTGAGCCTAAAGCTTGGCCGAGTTACGTTCACCAAGTGTAGTTATAGTTGCCCATTTGGACTCAAGAATTAATGTAAAATTGTAGTTAAAAATATGTTTAAAAGTGTTCCACATCATTAGTTTGTGGGTCAAAATTCCTGTTTTTAACTTGAGATCAGCAAACTCTGGAGATGATCCTGACAAAATTTGAAGAGGACTGGCTCAAAGCTCTCAGATGTTTGAAAGAAACAGGACTCTGAGGAAATTGAGAAACAAAATCCCCAAATGTGCCTTTTCAGAGAAGTAGACAATCAGAGCAAAGATGCAAATAAATGAAAAATATCTGGCTCCTTTTAAAGCCACTCCGGAGATTTTAGAAAAAACTTAAAACTTGATTACTGTAACGCCAACTTTGGGGGAATGACCATCATTGTATGTGCCTGAGAAGTGGGTGGAACTTTTAATCCACCTATGAAATTTTGTTAAAATCTTTGTTCAGTTTTTGTGTTAATGAGATATTTCTGCAGAAAATATCAGAAAATTATCAGAAGAGGACTATTGATTAAAAATTCCATTCGGCTGTAACAGGAAGTGGTTGTACTTGGACCCTTAAACATTTTAATAGTCAAAGGAAATGAAAGCAGGATTTAAAGGGACAAACGCTTTTCTTCTTGAAGGACTTTAATTTCTTACGGCAACAAAAGCTAGCAGACATTGAATCTCAGTCATTTCTGCATTTAATCTTTAGTGTCACATGTACACCTTGTAACAGGTAACACAATGCAAAAAAGAGAAAGAAAAAAATGGTGCTAGTTAAGGCAAAGTATAAAACTCTGCTAAAGGAGGTTTTTGTTGGTGTAGGGACAGATCAAACGTGTGAATTCAAGCACACTCCAGCTGTTACTAGAAGAATGGCAGTGTTTTATCTTAATAATACAAAATAGTGTCTATCATCTAAACAGAACTTTTGATTGGAGAATAAAAGCATAGTAAAGTGTGAAGTCAGTGTAGGAAGCATTAAAAGAAAATAAGCACAAACTAAGCATTCCTCACATGAACTGTCTAATGAGTTTACAACAAACACACACTTTTCTATAACAGCATTTACACTCATGCAATATTTGCCCCTTGATCTGAAGCAGAAATAATTCCACACTATGCTCTCTGGCTGCACAATATGGAGAATAATAGAGAAGAAAAACTAAACAAAGAGGAAATCAGTCAACTTCTTAAACATTAACACCCAAGCACAAAAAGGTTCTTCAAAGTTGCAGGGTGCACAGTATGGTGTGCAACACAACAGCTGAGTCCTGGACTGCAGTCTGTGGGTCCATCTAGGAAAGACAAAAGTTGCATGAGTGAAGAATTACAAAATCTTTCACTTGTATTGGATTGTCAAGGAGTTCATCTTCTACATAGTGTTTCTTAAAGGTGTTAATGTGAAAGTATTAGAGGAGGCCAATAGTGAGCTTTTTGACTAATAATGAGAAAACTCCCCAGTAGTGGTTTCACTCACCTGTTTCAGCTTCTAATTAGAATTCCTTTGCCTCACATTCTTGTCTTTGTGATTTGCATTAGAATTGCTCTTCCTTAAACACAATGAAGCAAACATGAGTTGTGTAAGAACACTAAAACAAACAAACAAACATTCAAACATTGAGTGACGATAAAGGTACGCTGCGATCTGTACTTACAAGGGAGCAGATCCTGAGTCGTCATCTGGACAGCAGCAAATGATCAATGAAGGAGAGCAAACAAAAAAAAGGGGGTCAGCTGATAGCAGGTTACATGTATGCGATTGGTGTGAGCAAAACATGCCCCCCGCCCCCTTCCCCCTCCCCAGATGATTGTAGCAAAAAGTTAGAACATGACATCTTCTGCAACATACCAATGAGGTTATGATCAAATCAACTTAACATGAACTGAAGCATGCCCACCTGTAGCATTTCTGAATTGGATTTGTTCAACTTAAACCTTAGGGCAATTCCAAACGTAAACATTGTGTGTGTTCTATAAAAACACACATCACTAAATGTCACTTAACTCAACTGACTAAGAGACTGAAGATCTCTTAATCATTTCAAAATTGCCCTGAAATTGACATTTGTATACATTGCCCAAAGTCAACCCTATGCATCACAGAGGGCTCATGCAATACAAGCAAAAACACTGCAGTGGCTCTATTCAAATAAAAACAGTAGCATCTTCAAACTGCAGGAGCTAACACAGCCAGCATGTCAGGGGTTGACATTAAGCTAAATTTGCCACTGGTCCTCAGGGCCACTGGTTTTCAAAGATCACTGGCCCGACCATTGTAACCGCTGGCCCAGGGATGTTACTTTTGATGCAAGAATAACAGTCACCAACTTAGGCTACTCTTGAACAATTCTGATGCAAGATTAAATTACAACTTTTATTTAATTAATTGAGCTCTAGTTATAAAAATATTGTGTATTTTTCTTATATTTATGTGCTCATGTTTATTCACCATGCTGGTAACTGTAAGAGTCTACTTAATTCATCAATATTAATATGAGGCTGTGATAGAGCTGGAATTCTTCTGATCACCTTTCTCTCCTTCTTTCTTCTGTGAGAAACTCTTCACCTTAGATCTTTACTTTAGGAGCTCTCTTAAGGGCTAAGATGCTTCGTGAAAAACTTTTCTCTTTACCAGGATGTAGTCTTGAACTTTAAGCTGTCTGTCACTGTGGCTTAAACTTTTTTCCGTTCTGTTTTCATCATGCCCTGCTGTCACTCTCGACTCTTCCTGTGATTTTTTTCCTTTGAATGCTGATTTAAGCTCGGCTTTTGTCGGGATCTGATGGTTTTAAAACCGTTTTACCAAACCAGTTTACCAAACAGCAGTGAAGCCGTCGGCTGCCTTTCAACTGTGACACACATGCGCGCGTGCACGAGCGCTTACGTTGATGCTGTAGCAGTTATTAGTGCGACGTTTAAAAAAAAAAAAAATTACTGACAAGACACCGGTATGACAGGAAAGCGCTCTTTTTTTTTTCTTCCAGGCACTATTTTAAGTGGCCTGAGCGGACTCTATCAAGCATTCATCCGGGCCAGCGGGCCAGTTATAATGTCGAGCCCTGCATATGTAGAGGCAGTGTTCATAGCAGAGCAAGAGCACATGCGCGAGGATCTAATTGAGAACGAACCGTTACCTTGTGAATACAAGGTAATGCAGAAGAAGGCTACCTCTGTGGTCAAACAGTGAATGAGACAATGTAAATGATGTACTGATCTGGAGAACAGGGTTTCCCTTTATTGATCATGCATAGAGTACACGATGCAGAGAGCATGCAGACAGAATGCTTAACCTCTCACTTTTCAACCTGTCCAATTCCCTGTCAAACCGTTTCACTCGTTTGCCTCATTTGACTCTTTCATTGGCTCCGACACATGACTTCAAGTAAAGGATACAAAAGTAAATATGGTAATTTTTTTTGCTCTGTTTGCAGGGCCAGTGAAAGAGTGACCAAATCTTTGAGCACATTCCTCTTAGAAGTGGTGACTATGAAAGCAGTTAATTCAAACTCCCATAGCTTTTTGTTTTTTTCACGCTGTCATCTCAGCTCAACCACTTCAGTCTGACATGCAGTTTTTTTTCCACTTACCAAAATGCAAAATCAGCAGCGAACAAAGAAGTAAAAGTGTAAATAATAAAAAAAAAAATAGTTTCTCTCACAGATGGTTTACACAAAAGTGGAAGCTAAAACCAGATTATCATTTCAAAAAAGTTAAATCATAGCAAGGACAATAAGGGTTCATATTGATTGCGTGCAAATACAAACTATACAAAACCTTAAAAAGCTTTGACTTTAGTCTCCACTTGCTAGTAGGAATCACCATTCATTACATGTGGCTACAGTTTCACATGTTTGTATCTTTCACAAGTTGAATGAATTCGAGACATTTGTTTGTGTTCATGTAGACACAAATTCTGGCAATACACAATCAGGTTGAGAAGTTGTCAAAGATCAATGTTTGGTGAAATTTTCTGAGGCCACTTTGTTAGCCAATTTGTATTCACTTTATGATGTTTTTTTCTCCAACCAAACTTCAGTCAATAACATTGTGAACATCACCACTAAGCAGTGGAATTCATGGCTGTTCAAACTGAAAAACAACACTTGGTTAAAAATAAAATGTGAGAAAACTGTGGCTGCAGTTTGCTTCAGGTTCTGATCAAGTTAAATGCATCAGTAGCACTTTCAGTACTATAAGATTATCAGCTGGGTATGTTTTCACATTAATGGCAATCAATGATATCGTCTATCTATAAGGTAAAACAGTAGTAGTACTGAACAAGACCTTAGAGCTGATGTTGTATGTAGTGGTGCAGGTAGTGTGACATACATACCGTCATTGATCTCATCAGGCTTTCGCCTCTTCTCGTAGATGAAGATGATGGTCACCAGGATGATGACCTCGGCCACAATCCCCAGGAAGGGCCAGAGAGCAGCCAGGCGACTGCGGACACGCAGGTGGATCTTGTCGCTGCTTGTGCCAAGTTCATTGGTTCCAGAGCAGACGTAGTCTCCAATATCGTTCTCCATGCTCAGGTCATTGATGGTCAGAGTGGTCTTGTTAGGGGTGCTCTTGATCTCATATTTGTCGGTAGTGCCGTTGATAATAGGCTGAGGGTCATGTTTAAGCAACTCGTTAGACATGGTTTGTACTTCTGCATTGAATCTTCGTCATAGCTGCCTACCCTGTCGTACTTGTGTGTCGGTGTGTCTGCGAAAACTTTGCCTTAAAATGCTAATGGTAGTGCGATTGCTATGCTAGTTATATCGCCAGCTTCCTATTCCGCTACATTCTGTACTTGTTTACAGGAAACATGGCTACTGAATCCAAGCGTATAATTCTGTTTTTTTTTTCTCGTTCAAGCGTTTTTCTTGCTGCAGAATTTTGAAAATGGCAGCGATACTGTTGTTGTAAATTCTGGAAAACAGTCTGCATCGTTTAGACGGGTAGTTACATTTTTGAGGGGGTGCACGTCAGGCTACATACGTAGGCATCTGCTAAGGTATAGATTCAACGCAGAAGTATAAATCAGGCTTAAGGCACACAAAATACCTAAACCCTTTTTATTTTGTTATAAAACTCAAATAACTGGACAAACATTATTTGCATTTTATAAAGCATCATGATATTAAAGGTGAACTACATTTCAATTTTTAAGTTCTGTGACTCTGCAGTCAAAAGTACAAGCGAGACACATACCTTCTGGGAGCCTTCTTCCTCTTTAAACCAGGTCCAGTCAGTGGGCAGTGGGTAGCCATGGCTATTACAGACCATCACACCTTTGTCATTCTCATTGGCATGCTCAGAGTGCTTGTGGGCACCTACATGAGGAAGTGCTACAGCAAAAAAAATAAAAAGAATAATGTCACGCTCAAACTCAAAAGGTTTTGATAGTTAAAACTCTGACGTAAACGTGAGCAAGAACTTTCAAAAGGTCCCTAAAAGCAACTTTCAATATGTTATATCTATTAAAGGACTTACTTTTGACTTCAATTGTCTGCTTCACCTCTGGATCAGTCAGGAACACACATTCATACTTTCCACCAGAGTTGTGGGTGATCTTATTCAAACTATGGAAAGAGAAAGAGAGTCAATGGTTTGAGAATCTTTTGCTGCGCTCCTTCTTCATAGAAATATGATTCTATTTCTCTGTAGTCATAGCATCCTAGCATATGGCAGGTTATGACTTCTAAACAATCAAATGAATACATTTCAATTTACTTAAGTAGAAAACAGGCGAACTGTTTTCAAAAAAATTCAAATTTCCTGGTAATCACAATTCCACTTTTGTTTGTTGCTGCTGTCCTGCACATTCCTGCTTGTTCTCTCTAATGGGGAATTAAGGTCATGGCAAGTGAGCACACTGCTGTGGGCGCTTATCCCTGCTGCCAAGACTACCAGCAAAGCTGCACGGCTACACAGTCCATCTCTCTGCAAATTAAGAGCAGCGAATAGCTGAATGGTGCCCCTAGCTCTGCTGCTAATGGAGGCAGCCAGCAAGAAAGGGAGCATAGTGAGAGGTGGAGGGACAACAGGCGTGCAAGAGGCAAAGTAAAAGGGAAAGGATGTTCGAGAATAAAGATGGCTATTGACTGTAGTTACAGAAGCAGAAACAGACAGCGTAAGAGTCAGACTACAGAAGGGTAACTATAAAACTACAAAATAATCTCTTTCAGTCTGAGAAATTAACTATCCTTTTAAATTACTGACGTAGCTTATTTTTCCAGCTAATAAAACATTTTAAAGCATTTCAAATCAGCTGAGCTTGATATTTTCTTGCATTGTTCATATAAAACATTCATGTGCCTGTCAAAAAAAACTTTTTTGTGTTTATAAGCTACTGGAACACTTTATTTTAACATTGTCCCATTCAATGTTACTTCGACAGGATGAGTGTCTTCAATGAGACAGAGTACCCATAAGCAGTTCTGCTCATGGCACATTATGATTGTATCTACTCACCTAAGGATGATGGATGCAGAAGCCTCAGTGGATTTGGAATCTTCAATGACTTTTCCATTGTGCACCCAGTGGGATCCCTTGATGGGAAGGTTTGACTCTGTCAAGTTGCACCTGAGGACTGCGGAGGTCTGGTTGCTGACCTCCGTAGGTTCAGTAATGATGTTTGGGGCTTAAGATAAACAGAGACGAAAGTGTAGATTTTAGACACAATAATGACATGTTTGTCAAAAAGTGTCTGACTTTTTGATTTAAATATAAACATTGTAACACAAGTATGAGGTCTAAACAAATGTACATAATTTTCTAAGAAAGGTGAAAAGAGTTCCCCGAAGGGGGAAATCTATTTCACCGATGATAGAATGAAGGGGAAAAAAGGATTTGTACTGGAAATCTAGTAGGTACAGTAGTCTCCAACAAGGTCATGGGGAAAAGATATAGTTACATAAATACATGCAGAAGATCCACAACAAGTTGGATATTAAATTACTGCAGTTTTGCTGCTTCAACCAGGTAACGAAGCTGACCAATTCTTTACAATAAAAATAATACTGGACCACAAGGCCAAAAGCTATCCCATGGCTGAGAAACTATTGTTTGATCATTAGTTTCTATGAGCCGTGCCTACCGTGTATTTGGCTATAAGCCATAGGAATTAGCCAATGTTAGTATCAATTAAGGAAAATGCTACCAAGAAAGCAATACTAATCAGGTAAATCTGACACCCCTTTTTTTTGTTCTCCTAAAAATGTAATAGTCATATTTTGTCAATATCAAATTACTTTAATGCAAGAGCCATTTTCAAATTTCTGACCTTATGACCAGTATTATAAACAAGAACACTTATCATGATGATATGTAAGCTTTGCAAAAAGGAAAAAAAAAAAAAGGCATCAGATTGAAGGCATGTTGTGTCAGGACATAAAGGAATAGGGAGCGGTCCAGCCACTCTATTTGTATTCTACTACAGGACAACTGTGGAGCTGTTGAGGAGAGGGACAGTGGATACCAGGTGAGGCAGGATAGAGAGGACACTGGACCAGGAAGCATGGGAATTGAGTGCAACAGGACCTGAATGTCCGGGACTTCACTAATGAGGAGATACCAGCCAAGTGAGTTCTCCTCATGCTTCCTGTGCCACTCACTTTCAATCACAATAATGTTTGCCTGCGAGCGGATCCACTTGATTTTTGGCGTCTTCTTCAGTTCATTGCGGTCGGGGTCGTTGGAAGCACGGCACTCATACGTGCCAGAGTCATCAAGGGTGAGACTAGTGAGTTGAATGGTGCTTGTGCCATGTGATATATATGTGGCATTTATTTGCACACGGTCATCCCGTGCCCCATCAAAGAGCTGGGTAAAGGTCTCATTGGGCTCTTCACCCACCACAAACCACCACTGCACTTCAGGGATGGGGTTCCCTATTACCTCACAATGCAGCTTTGCACTGTCATTGACCAACTTCATCTGAGACAGGGGAGACTTAATAAAGCCCGCTGAGAAAGTTTCATCATCAGCCCAGCGAAGAGATTTTAAGCAATTTTGAATGTGGTGGGTTTAAATCAAGACAGGTGATTTTATGGATCATGATAAAAGGCCGTTATGGAAAACAGACAAGCAAGAAGGAAAAAGAAAGACAAAAGAAACAAAGTTAATACAAGCAGAAATGAAATGAAAAAATATGGAAGTAAGCTTTGAAAAAATACATGATCATTCCTGGCACTCTGGCCTGTTTCTACATAAATAATAAATGAAACATGGATCACTTTAATTGTTGATCTGTTTTAAGAATTGAGGTAAAACTAAACTACATAAATAAAGCAGACTTTATAGGAATTATACTTTTATATAAGAGTCATCATTTGAAGTTAAATTGTTTTAATTGTCGTGATGAATCATATTGCATTGCGTGATGGTCGTAAATTTTGTGCATCCTGTTCATATCAATAGCAAGTAGAATATTTGTTGCGAGTGATCCTCTGGAGTAGCTAATCTTATATAATTGGATTTCTAAGTCATGTCAGTTTACCAAATTAATCGTCTTTATATTCAAAGGCTAAAGAGCAGTTAAGCAACAACTAGTGTTTGGGCTGATGGCAAAACAAAATGTTTGATGAGACATCCCTAATGACAGTTGAGCAACAAAAAAACACACAAAAAAACAACAAAACAGTTAAAGTAACCAATAGCATTCCCATGAAAGACAATGAATAGAAAAGCAGATGAGGCTGAAATGAAAAACATTTAACATGACTAATCTGGTTTAAAATCCATGAACGCCTTTGGACATGGACCAACCAATTCTTTTAGGCTAGTGTTTACTTCTCTGCTGTGCCTACAGTCACCCAACACTCTTAGGGTGTTAAAGTAGGAAAACAGACCATTTTTCTGAAATGATTCTGCCAATGAGTCATTTAGGCTATGAACATGACCTTAATGTAGGCGAGTAAACATGGTGAATATCATCTAAGGGGGAAATGAAAGCAACATATCTGTTGCATTTACATGGGAATCACAGAGAAAAGAAAATTTGTATACGTGACATGTTGCCCGACTCTGTGAGAAAAAGATAATCAAATAGGAATACGTTTACAAGCTATTGATAGACAATCAGAGCAGACCAAAGCAAAATCCTTTTGTGAAGGATTTACGTTAACTTTCCTTCCTAGTATCACAGCTCTACACTTTGGAAGCAGGCAGGGTGGCCACTCAGTGGTGGACTGGGGGGGGGTTATAAACTTAGGTGGGTCCAGGGAAGAATAACATTCTCACACTACTGGCAAAAACAAGGGAAGCTTGTTCCCCACCTTTCACTAACACAAAGCAGAACAAAACCAGGGCTGGGCCCAGGGAACCCAGCACAAAAAAACAAGCTCAAGAGTGAAATAAAAACTAAATAAGCACAGAGTTCCAAGTATCTCTAACTGCCATCACGGCTGTATGCAGCTAGACAGGCAGCGTTGTATCCTAATCAATCCTGTGCACCAAGACACACACTGGCAAACAACAAAAGAAGAAAGGTGAAAGGGGAGGAAGATAAAATGTTTCCTGGAGTGTATTGGTGTATTATTCACTATGCTGCTGTACCAACATGTCATACACAAATATCCGGATCCCAATATATTGTCGATATTAATGATATTGTCCTAAAATTACAAACACCTACAGTACAAAGATCTCCAAACATGCGTTAATTCTACAGAGGGATCGTTCATTTAAGACAGTTGCAGCCAGACTGCAAGAAAATTAAAAAATTGCACTGAAGACATAAGAGTCACACAGTAACACAAGGCTTCAGGATTAAATGTGCTGTTTTTGTTTTAGGATAATATCCTCTCCTTCCCTGTCTCTCTCCCTTTCTCTTCTCCTACACTGTCAGAGTATGATTCAAATATTAATATCATATTCAGCGCCGTCAGGTCTTGGTTACAGCGTTGTGGCGTGTGATTAAAAAGCTTCTACATGCCGACTTTTGTAGAAGTGCCACAGAAGATTTGTTTTGTTAATAAACGGATGATAAAAACTTAAAGCCAGTTATAGTCACAAATAACATTCATACATTACACGGTCAGGATCAACAACTCATGGAACACGCCTGACATTTTACAGTTTTCTGCAGTAAAAATATAGAAAGTGAATCATGTTATCATTTGGATAATTCAATAAAGTGAGAATACGTTCCAGGTGAAAAAGTAAACTTCCTGTTCACCATCAGACTCGATGAGAATGAAAACACTTTAAATCAGCTAGTGAGATCTGATATCCATGCAGGAAGTACCAGATATAATTTATTAATATGATACTTTTACTTTTGAAAACCAAAGGGAAAATAAATAGTTTTTGTCAAATTGGTGCACAAAAATAGAGCATAATACAAGAATTACAGTGTTTGATGCTGAAAATTCCCAGGGGGAGGACTACCAGACCCCCCAGGCTTAACTGAATTCAACATCTTTGCTCTAATTGTGGAAATGAACAAACTAGCTTTCATGTTGTGTTGATTCTAATTTAGAACAGGACAAATTACTCAGTATAATAAATCATTTTTTAACATGAGATTTGTTCTTGCTTTAATTAGCCTACACAATAACTAGAATTCCTAATGTTGCTTGTTAAGGTGTCGAGGCGGGTACATCTGCAGATGTATGGTAGGACAAACTTAATGAATGTTGACCTCCACCGAAAACTTGGAGCATATAAATGAAAGACAGAATAACACAGACTGAGGTTTGAACTTGTCAACTAGACCTCAGTCTCTACATGGAACCTACATCATGTAACACAGCTTCCCCACCATAACCAAAGGTCACCTTCCTGGACATAGTTTATGAAAGTTCAAAATTAAATATAGTCAGGGTGGCAGTTCCAACTATCATCGGTTTTGAAGCACATGAAGCTTGAAAGCTTTACCCCTTGCAGCTGTCTGCTCATGACATGCGTGTCAGTCTTAAGTGTCTTTAATCCTTTCAGAGAACAAAATCCAGTGGATATTCAATGTTTACATACGGTGCGAACAAGCTGAAGAGCCTGATCAATTCACAAATAAAGTCTGGAATTCTGTAATTTAAGGAATAAATATTTAAGTTTTGATGTGAACAAAACAGAAAAGAGATTTGTTAAGCAATACATGAAAAGCAAATAAACCCAAACTATGGGAATACATGCTTTATCTTCACAGAAACTTTTTTGTATATTTTGTTCACAAAGCTGGTTGAAGATTAACAACTCAAGTTACAATTTACTCCACAAGGTCTAACAAAGACGAAAATGCTGAAACCTAAAGGAACTTTTGAAGCTCGCTTAACAGGTTATATAGAAATGTTCAGAATGAGCAAGATTGTGTATTTTAACACCCTGTCGTATAGAATATGGATGTCATGGGTTCAGCATGAAGGCTGAGACATGCTTGTATCAGACAATGCTTAACTCCCATATTCAGCATGTGGGAAACACCATCTGATAAGAGGGTAAATAACAGAGTGTAAAACCAGAATTTCCCCATCAGGGATTAATAAAGTATGAAAAAAAAACATCTAGCTTATGCAACCTGATCTTTTAAGGGGTTTTGTTGTGTCTGGAAATCTGGAGTGCACTAATCTAAGCCCACTTTAATGTAATCACTCAGTTGTGGCATACCAACACAGACTTGCCATCACTAAAAGGAGGACACCAGAAACAAAAAAATCATGTAATCAATGGTGCAATTGCTTAGACTGATTGCTTTCATCATACGGGGATAATTTGAGAAAGAGCTGATGGAGCTGCTCTGATCACAAAATGGTGTTGAATGATACTAAAGAAGCAAAAACTCTAGGGATATCTAATTTTACTTCTGATCTACTCCAGAGCTAACAGTACCAAAGCAGGAAACATTGTGGCATGAGGGCTCTTTGACTAGTACTTAATGCTCATGCACTTTAACATTGGTAAATAGTACTGATGCAAGGACCAAAACTGATTCCAGTGCATGTGCCCTCCTTTTACTATACCTACATATTTCAGAGCGTGCAATCTTGTTTTCTTTAGGATGCTGCAATACACAGTAAAGGTACATTCATGTGTGCTTAAACGATGTTGCCCGAGTGTTTCAGTATTACAAATCACAATTTTTCCATGGCAATTTTTCCATGTGAATTATGTATGATGTGTTGACTGTCATTTTTAGACATAGAAGATCACTGGGGCAGACAATATACATAAAACAGCAAAGCTCTGGAGAATCAGTATGACCACTACTCATATTACCAGTCAAACATTAATGTGGCTGGCAATGTTGGAAAAAAAAATGTTTCTACTGAACACTGGTGAAATTGATGATTTATCCGTTAAGTAGCTGGTAAATATATTTGGATCTTTCAACCCTTAATTTAAAGTTAAACACTGCTGCTATTTTAAATGATAACAGACAAGAAAAGGGGTAACGACAGTTCACGGATCAACACAATGAATAAGCAGGTCATTTAATGACCACAAACAAGACTTTTACGCTCCAACAATGTAGGAGCATAAAAACAACTGATTCAGACATAATGTCAAAACACTGTAACATGACAACTGACACGTCACTGGAATGAATTGATGGCGTCTTGATCTGGTCAGTAAATATCTCCAAGTTTTATACCTTAAATATCTCTAAGTTTAATATCTTAAATATCTCTACGTTTAATATCTCTAAGTTTAATACCTTAAATATCTCTAAGTTTTATACTTTAAATATCTCTAAGTTTAATATCTTAAATATCTCTAAGTTTAATATCTTAAATATCTCTAAGTTTAATATCTCTAAGTTTAATACCTTAAATATCTCTAAGTTTTATACTTTAAATATCTCTAAGTTTAATATCTTAAATATCTCTAAGTTTAATATCTTAAATATCTCCAAGTTTAATATATTTAAATATCTCTAAGTTTAATATCTTAAATATCTCTAAGTTTAATATATTTAAATAGCTCTAAGTTTAATATCTTAAATATCTCTAGGTTTAATATATTTAAATATCTCTAAGTGGCGGAAGCTGTCAGTTCTACAGTGACTAGCGAAGGCTGTGATGAAACACTTACGAAAGGACGGAAATATATTTAACCCAAAGCGTAGTTCTTGAGAACTTGTCTGTGGTGACATTTTAATGAAAGCAACCCTTCACTACTGAAACATGACGAGTTAGTCTGACAACATAACAACAATGTTAATACCCCACCATACGTTGTGAATTAAAGCAGCTCACATGACTTGTTACATTTGCGATCGTTTTGTTATGGACGGGTGAATCTGTAAATACACTCAATGTTAAAGCTCTATTAACAAGATATTTCCTGGTTAAACGTCTGAAATTTAAAAATGCAAATTAGCTAAATGAGTCGCTAGCAAAACCACAAACGAAACGCCTAAACTAGCGTTCATAACCCGAGTCTTTTATAAAAGCACTGGATAAATGAGTATACCAGTAGCTGCTGTACAATTATAAACCAAGAGACAACACTGTTGTTTCGTGTAAATAGCAGAAGACTTAATTTATATTATTTACGGTCGTTGTCAGAGCAAAGTCTACACATTGAGCCAACATGGCTGACACCAAATTCTTACCTGTGGACGCGCTAGCTTGCCAGCAGCTTAACAGAAGGGCACCGACAGCCCACAGTAATTTCATGGTCGATGATTTCGTATTTAATAACTAGTCGATTAAAAGTAACGTTAACGTATTCGGGGTAAATCTTCTTCCACTTTTACTCGCGAACTTCCAGCGAGATGTCGGAGCCGACTGTTACGAAGTGAAGCCGATCGAGTCGGTCGTCCTCTAGTTGCACCTCACGCACACACGCCCTGATCGGCACGTACACATGACGTATTGTTTAGAGGCGTGGTTACGTCACATGAGTTTCGGAGCTCTCCTAACACAATTCAATCTTTTCTAATGACTACATCTATGTTATTAAATGTATTAATGTTAATGTTGAACAAACTTGGAAGGGTTGTCTCATATTCACAAGACAAGTATAACTGTCTGTATGCCACCTCAATTTAGTGTTAATAACTCTGATTTAACCAAACGTGTTACAAAAATGTCTGCAGTTTTCAAACACTGGGTTATGAGGTCTTCTTAGAAATGTTTTTTTGGCCGTAAGAATCTAGGTATCTTCTCCAGTTCACTAAGACAGAACGATAATGTACTTATGCTTTCAAGTTATCAACTGGACAGAAAGAAATGCATTATTTGAATGTGGAAAAACTCTCATTTGTGTTGTAGAGTGACCAAATATAATTTGTTTAGAGACATAATTTCAGTATGAGCAAAAATCAACATATGGGGATGTTACCTCTTGCTGTGTGGTAGTTGTTAAATGGGGACCTTTAATGGGAACAATAAAAACAAACAATATACATTCCTGACACGTTGTGATTGAGTCCAAATACATCTTAAAGTCCATCTGTGATCAGACTTTTATCCTGTTTAAATTCAGAGGTAATCATTTTAGGCTTATACGAAGATGTTCCCTATAAACTCAAACAAGCTTGAATAAATACTTAAGAAAATTTGTCAGAAAATCTAAATCCAGATATGCCATTCTGATGTTTACTAAAACAACAAGAGCACTGCTAGCCTAATAAAAAGCTTTTTGAGTGTTTCTTATTTTGGCTTCACAAAATCTGAATACATTCAATTCCAGCTAGAAGGAATTATTCTCAATTTCAAAGGTCTTCAATTGTAGCTCTAGGCATTCAACATATATACTCTTTTTAACAGCTTGCTTTGATCCAAGGTACAGTTATCAGGGTTTCAAATCCTGCAGTGTTAACAAAGGTAACAATAAACTGCACAAATGAATCGTGAATTTCACATTGTAAAGTCAAGCTTTCAGCCATTACTGTTTCAAATCGCTCACTAGCTAGACTGATGTTTCCTTACATAACAATCCCTTTAGATTAAAAGGCCTTTGATCCTGAGCCCCAGAGGAGAAGAGGTACAATTTCAAGGAAATACACCCATGCTGCTAAACAATAAAAGGAAGCAGAATTGACTGGTTTCTGGGTAACACTTCACAGACAAGCCCCCTTTTGAAAGATTTAATATAGATTCTGTTTACTATAAGCACAACAGGCCTTACTTTGAACTTACAAAACAAGCACAGAACTGTATTATGCGCTGAAATCTTTCAGCAGTGCTTGCTAATGATGTTATTGTTCCCTGGTTGATTCTGTGTTCTGAAAACCTGCAAAACATCATAAAAGGACAAATAACTTAGTCTGGGAAACAAAAACCAGCACAGCTTGTGACTTGCCTGTTCACCAACAAATGCACACCATCCTTCTGGTTTTGTTTTTTTTCTTAAAAAAAAAACCCCCAAAAAAACCTCTTAACCTTTTCTAAACCAAATAAGACATTTTAGAAATATTTCCTGAACTCTACTCCCATCTAGTGTCTGATCCCAGCACTGCACTCAAAAAAGAATAGTTTTTAATTCATGTTTTTTCACATACCAAAAATAGGAGCAACATTTATATGTTCAGAGTCAATGTCGGTTTCTGGAACAAGCTCAGTATTGATTCTACTGCTCATAATTTGACTGCAGAAGAGTACTTTATAGAAACAAAACACAGAATTCTTACATGAATTACGAGTGGTAGCACCCAAGCATCTTTATTTTCACATCAGTTCATTTATTTGGACACGATGATACTTCAAACCAATGGTTTTTCAACTGGCAACTTTAGAAAATACTTAATATACCTTAAGTTAAAATGCAAAAACGCGTTGAAATGTTTCTAAGTGTTATATGTGAAGAGCTGATCCACAAAATAGGCTTGCAGATACGATAAAAATAAACTTTCATGGTTAATTTAATTGTGCTTTTCACTTATGTAAAAAGCACCAGATGACTGCAATTTGATGCATAATAATTTCAAGTGCAAAAATTTACCTGATTGGATTCAGGTAATCTTTCTACTGTAAGAGGAGCTTGATTGTAAAATAACTTGGAAATGTATTGTTCAAAAATTAAAAAAAAAAACAGGAATAAAATGTAGTATCATCCAAACTGAGGAGTAACTGAAGTGCACTAGAGTGCAGTTTGAGTCATTTCATCTGTGAGATATGAATGCTAGTTATAAAAGGAATAACTGCTCATTTCTTTTTGCTTCATTGGCAAAAGTGGAGCATCCTAAGTCATACCAGTCCGGAGAATTTTTTTTTTTTTTTTTTTTTCTTTTTTAAGAACAACAACTGTATTCTCATGAGTCCTCTGCCTTTGGATTCTCTTGTATTCTTTTCCTGTATGAGGTGATTCAGGCAGAGCGAGCCACTTGAAGTCTCCACACCCTCCCTGATAGAAGCTGCACTTGAGGCCTCCACCCCTTCCTTTGTTCAGATTCCTGATGAAGGTGGGAGCAACAGAACGGGCAGAAATACATTGTCCTCACGTATCACTTACCCCCGAATCGGGCTTGAGTGCTCCTGGCGAGATGCACTCAGGTCTCTGCCCGGCAGCAGGGAGAGACTGGAGGTCACCGCACTGAAGTACAGCAGCCCAGGAGCTATTAACAGCTCGCAGGGTGATGAGGGCAAATGGTTCTCTAGGAGTTATCAGTGGAGTTCTCATTGCTGGTCGAACTTGAGGACTGAGGGGTGGAGGAGGATGAAGAGGAGGAAGAGGAGGAGGTAAAGTTCATCCCTGATAGTTCTGGAGGGTTTGTTGCCGTGTTCTGCCCACTCAAACTTTTCCGGCACACCGGACAAGTGTCATGCTGGAGAAAACGAGTGAGAAGAATATGAAGCTGTAAAAATGTCATGGCACATAATGTTGTAGTTTCAGACTACAAATGATGAATATATAGGTGACAAGACGATGAGACTGCTTATGACAATACCTGCTCCAGCCAGGGGACTATACAGTCATTGTGGAACATATGATTGCATGGGAGCTGCCTCACAGTTTCCCCAACACAGTAGTCTTCTTTACACACCGGACACTCCAGTCCTGAAGCTGAGAACAGAACATTGTTCAAATTGTGAAAAGTAACAAATAATTCAATAGAGATATTATCAGCCAAGTGGTTTTAGATGCAAGGTTTATCATTAGTGATATTACAATATGAAATGGTAATAAGTAAAAAACAAAACAAAAAACACTTAAGCCCTGTTCTTCCTGGGTACCTCTGGTAATTTGTAATAATTAGGAAGATTTCTGTGTTTTGAATTCCATGTGAATCCCAATATCTGTAATTTGTAAACTAAAACTTCCTGGGCAAATTACCAACCATTAATTTCAGCTGATAATAGTTATCCCACCTGAAGTCTCAGTAATTTGGGGCAGTCCACCACTTTATTTTTCTCATTTTTCCACAGGAGAATGAGAATATGGGAGGCTGTGCTGGACAATTTAAATGAAGGACTGGACAGCATTTTAGGGAAAAATTCAGCTGGCTTATATCGCTATACAGTATGGCAGATTTGAGAAGAAGCAAACAAAAAAGCATCTGAAGAACCAAATGTTGAAGAGTGAATAATGCTGTTTTCATGTGTTTATAGTTGGTCATTGTTTTTTTGTTTTTTTTTAGAAGTGTACCAGATTCGGACGTATTCTATTTTTAATGAATGTACGGCAGGCTGTACTCTACAAAGTGTGATGCTGCCCCCAGAGACAAGGTGGTACCATGAAGCGCCTCAACATTTACAATCACATACTGTATGTCAGTAAATATGTAAATTAAAGGCTTCACTTCTCCTGTGTGAATGTGCTGTACCAAACACTGATGTTGAGGGACAAATCCCAAATTACCAAAAGGTCCCAAGGTAATACTTATTCCATTCAAAAAGGGTTTACCACATACACTAAATACCATGGTGTATGTGGTAAACCCACTGTGTTTTTCTCAGACATAGTGTTGGATGTGATGCTATGATGTCATTTCCCTTAAGTGAATGTGGAGTGCGAGTGGCACAACCAGCTCAAGAAAAAAAACCTACCTGGTGTGTTAAACAACTAGGATAGTTGTAAATCTTTGCATAGCACTTCTAATATTCAGTAGTTCATTTCATAATGTGTCATTTATTTGATTCAAAACATTCTATGTACCTCAAGTTAAGCTTATTTTCCTCATGCATTGTACTCATTTTATTTTCATCTTTATAACGTGGGTTTAACTTTTACATCTTTATTTAGTATTTTATTTTCATCCTTACGAGTTTCATGTGACTCTCAGCACAGCTGTTTTCTCTTAATGCGAGATACTTTGGACTGCATTTGCTTGAATTAAAGAGTGCATCCAAAATAAACGTTATTAATATTATTATCGTCCATTCTTTTATGCAAACATGTCGGAATGTGTAAGGCTTAAGATGTTGTCTATTAATGGACAGATTACGATAATAAAACATTATACGTGGTTGATCATCATGTTATGCACTGCTTGTGTCTCTGAGCCACGAGCATTTACATTTTTTTTTTTTTGAGCTCCCTCTGGTTATTTGATCAAGTTCATCATGAGATCCTTCGACTGAAGCTTTCTCTGGATGTTACAAACTGAGGCCCGCAGTATAAACCCCTCTATTGGAAAGAACAAGCTGATGTCCAAAATAGAGCGAATAACACAATGTTAAAATAACACGCATTAAAAATAACACAATAAAGATATGAAAAGAATAAACACTTACCAACATGCTGATCTGTAACTCGCACTGTAGGAAGACTCTTTATTTTATCCCTGTCAGCAGGCGGGGGTCCCGTGTTCTCAAACTGGTTTAATAACTGAAGACAAGAATTAAATTATCTTAATGTGTGCGTATTACTCTTCTTCTTGGTTTCTTACAACACATGTTAAGTGTTATAGTAATTACTTAAAAAATCACTTCAAGCTTTTCCTTCAAATACCTGAGTTATAATTGCATCTAATCCATTAGCACCCCAAGCATAATCCATAGGATTTGAGTGAAGAACACCCCTGTAAGAAAATAAATTAACATTACAAAGTTAAGAAACACATAGCCCGTTTTCTTAAGGATTTATTTTCTTGTTCAATACATCTGTTTCTTAAACTTACCAGGGTCCTACACCCATATTTGGCATTGCAGTGGGTGCAATTATTCCATTCACTAGTTGCTGAATGATTCTGCAAAAGACAACATAAAGCAATGATACACAGCAATGAGGGAGATATCAAAACTTCCTGAGATAATGAAAGTCCAAAGAGTCACCAAGATAAGAACTTACCCTTCTAATGTGGGAACTCCCTCATGCCTCCCTGGTTGTCGCCTTGAACCATGACGACTTCTCGGTTGCCGTGCACCATATCGTTGTCGTGATGCCGTTTCCCTTTCTCGCCTGTTTTCTGCTTCCCGGTTGTCCTCTGTTCCTAGACCAGCCCCAAAGTCAAAGCGGTCATCAAAGACACCCAGGGCAAACTGGCCATAGCCCGAAGGGAATGTAAACATGTGCTGGTCCACATTCTGGGGGAGAGACAAAAACAATATCAGTCAGAAAAAACTTTTTCTTCATGGTAGCAACCAGACAAGTTTCTCTACAAACTGCAGGGGTCTCCACAAGCTCAGACTGTCGGCCAAACAGCCAACTACTCACTTATTTACAGCCAGCTACTTATGAATATTGTTGATTTATTTTTTTAATAAAAAGGTTCACTTGTACTTTCAAATCATTCTGATCATGAGTAAGATGCCTTCTCATGTTATCAATATATGCAATTCATTCATTAATTACAAAGCCTGTCATTTATTAGATTCATTTTTTAATTGATTGACGGCACTAGTTAATACTGATAGAAACGTCACACAGCAGCCTCTGACATCAGTATGTGACCTGTGGTGTAAAAAGCATTATACAAGCTCAAGTCCATTTATCATGTCTGTGGAAAGCCCTGAAACTGGTTCAAAACAACCCCTGTTTGGTTGACAGTATGGTCAAATTTCAACCCTCTGGGTATAGACAACTCTGACAATATCACCAAACAGTTGAGTGAAATAGAAAGATGACAGATACTAAAAAAAAAGGTGAAAAACCTCAAACGGTTGTTGGTTCGGAGGTCCGCTGGATATGGTAGACATGGAGCCATTATCCGCACTGACAAGGAGATAAATAGTTATGAGAGTTACGCTCACAATTAGTATCACACCAAAATATTCAAGGTTTTTCAAACATGCATCACAGTTTCCATCACTCTTAACAGTGTTGACATCATGAATTTCTGTGTCCTTTTCTTTATAATACACACCTCCTCTCTTCCAGCAGTTCCTCAATAAACCCTGACTCACATCTTGGACACGTGTACTCCTGTAAACAAACAAAAAAGGTAAAAAATATATGTCAGATTGTGGCATTTGTAATTGCATGGGATTTAACTTAAAGTTGGTCTAAAAAAATTGTGACAATACATCGTATTTTTTCAAGAGCTCAAAGTTACTAATCTGTCTCACAATGCCACCAGAATCAGTGAAGACGCCTCACGAAGAGAGACTGAGCTGACAGAGGCTACCAACCCCAATCAGCACTGTTTGAAGTGTCCTGTCAAGCTGTGTCACGATCTGGTATGAGAACTGTCTTTAAGCCCCCTCAGCAAACATTGAGGACATCTAAAGAGGATGAGCTAGGTCTTCTCTCCCCTCCGTTCAGAACATTTACAGAGATCAATGTTTGCAGAGATGTTCAGGAAAAGCCTGCAGGTAATGGATACCAGAACTAGAAAGAGCCTCTTGCTCCAGGCTGTCATATGGCTGAACACCTAAGAGCAACCAGACATCAACACAACCCTAAATTCATCTAATTTTAACATGTTATACATGAAGTATAAATGCCTCTGCCCTACAATAACCTGATTCCAAGAGGAGCCAAGAGTTTTCCAAACAACATTAGCAATAACACAGCTGTTTGGGGGTGTAAGTTGAGACCACCTGCTATTATCAGCAACCTACAGAAAGCTGTGGCTGATCTCTTACATTGTGAAGGGAACATTAACTCACAGAGATCATTCTAGCCTGTGACAGACATGTCACTTGTTTGCTTTGCTGAATGGCAAAACAAGAAAAGGACGCACCAGGCATTGTTGGACATTACAATCTGGAACACGACATCATCAGGAAGGCGGGTTTTACGAGTGTTTCATTTATAGAAATACAATTTTAAAGAAGATATTATAAAGGCGCTCCCTGTGCAGCAGGGGACGTTTCTGCTACTTGATATGGCTAAGACGCTGATATAAACCATGACACATTAACAAATAATCCTGTCAAGCTTTGCTGAAACATTGAGAGAAGAGTGACAGAATTCTGCGTGTAATGACTACGCAGTTGGTGCCTGTATGTTCACGGATCCACCACTAAGATAACAAGATAACCAACACTGGTTAGCGGTAGCCGGGACCTTGTAGCAGGAAGCTAACGCTGTTAGCATGCTATCTTTTGGCTGCAACACTTTCTACGACGGTGACGACAACAACAATCTGTTTTCCCATTTTAAAACTGTCCGTGCGTTTAGTTTAAGTCATTCGTACTTACAGGCAGCCGAGGACTTATCTCTGCTGAGCATCTGTGGCAGAAGAACCGGCTAGGCCATGGAGGAGCTTCAGCCATCTTTAACCACTAAACAGGTAGAGAGGGGGGAAGGACTACGGATCCCCGGAGTGGTCAATGTTAACCCCTAGAAAATACGACGACCATGTGATGGTAACAACTGCACTGATCAGGCAGGGTTTAAAGTGTACGCGATACACACTCCCCTTGCCATAATACGTGAAAGAGTTTAACATTGCTGAATGTGGGTGTAGATATTTGTAGAATTACTAAACTACACAATATAGCCCCCTAGATACAAGTTACCATTGGTGTAAATATAAACAATGTTACAAATTAAATCTGATTATTTTACTGACAAGACCTAAACTAATATTTATCCGAATTTGACAACTTCAAACAACTTTTGTGTTTTATCGAAAATTGCCACAAGGTGGTGCTTTTGTGTATCAAGTGTTCAAGACTGGCACGGTAACCAGAAAAAGTGTGTTTAGAAACACTATTTTGATACTTATTCTCACGTGCTGAAGCAAAAGTCTTTCTTTGAGAAGTGACTCATTTTAATGTAATGCTCTCTAACCAAAGTGTGTCATGTAACACCACACAGTGTCTCCACTGAACCCATACCGTATTCCTACAGGTTTAGGGCCCTCTGGCCTCCCTGTTCACATGAAAATCAGAGATGTGTTTTTGCAATTTCACAGTGCACAGTATTTATTTTGACATGTTCCCTTTCCATTGGATCCTTGTCAACTACCCCCAGGTCCCAACTATCTTAAAGTGTTCGAAAGTTGAGATGCATCTGTTTTGTTTTTGAGCAACACATCTTGTCAAAGGTGAATTTGTAGTTTGTCCTTGATCGTTTGACAGAATTTGCTGGACCCATATTATCAAGTGTCAGATCTGAGACATAAAACAGTAAATAAGAAGCCTCACACATGGGAAAGACATTGCCTGGTTTGTTGTTAACACAGCCAAGTTGTTGTTGGCGTCTATCAGGAGGCCCTGAGATAGCACTGAAGGTCTCAGAGACACTTTAGTTACATAAGAAATGGAGAGGAAAATGATTGATTTTATTTTGTTTTCAGGTCTGTTTAGGTTGGGGGAAAAAATCAAAAAAAATATTGGACAGCTCTACTTAATGAGATTACCATTACTCCAGATTGACAGCTAAAAAGTTGTAACACAATTCTTTTGTATCATTTTTTGCCTGGCACCACATGTTGAGAGGAGTCCAGTTCCCATCTGACTTCCTGTCAGCCAATCACATCTCTTTAGCTGCCTGGCCTGATTTTTATTTACTAAATATTTAAGTCTGTGCTGTGCACAAGGATATAGACCTTAATGATTGATGACTGGAAGTCATTTTATGAGTTCATTATTTTCAACAAAATACATAGAATTAACAAGCCATAAATGTTTTAGCTGGTTTAAAAACAAAGAAGTTACTTGCTGTAACTGTGCTAAATGTTGCTAAGTGCTGTGCTCATGAAGGATTAATGTTGGGAAATGTAGCAATGAATAAGGTCTTTTTACCTAGTCTTTTGTAATATTAAATAACAAAGAGTAAGGTACATTCTGTAGCATGCACTAGTAGTCTTACAGAAGCAGAACTGCAAAATATCAGTGGAACTAAGCTTTTTTTTTTGTGGCACGTACAACATAGATATGGTTAGTTATATCAAGACTGGATGTTTCCCCACAGCAAAGCTCACAGTGTAACCTAGTTAGGTCCCAGTGTCGTCTCTAGGCAGGCGTGTGTGTCTGATCCTGCCATGTGGGAGCAGGAGAGACACGGCTGTCCCATGGACTGAGATTAGAGAGGGTCTGATAGCATTTAGGTTTGCTATGTCTGCCTGGCTGAGGTAAGCTATTGTTGTCTCTCTGCACTCAGTGCGTCACCGCCATCCCAGTCAAATGCTCAATGTAGCAATGCAGTCTGGGGAGTGAGTGACTTTGGGTCAGAGACAGGTCATGTGAGGCACCGAAAACAACTCTACCAAGCAGAGGGACCTTAGGTCAGTACTTATCTGGATATTGAACATGGTCAACAAAAAAATGTACAGTGAACCACACTGCTTGCCTTGTTGCGATACACATTACAGCACAGGATATATGCTGCTAAACATTCAAGGGTCGGAAATAATGTTTTACCTCCTGCCACTAATTAAGTAGCTTTAAGACCATTTGCACATGCATGAATACAATGATTTAGTCAAAATAGATTTGTTCTATTTTATTATTGCTGAACACCAGTGGCAGTTCTTGGATCACTGGGTGGTATCTGTCTCATGCACAAACAGAAGTATTTTATATCAACAAATTCACATGTGACCTGGGATGACACATGATGTAGCTTATAAAAGCCTGCATCATCCCAATAGATGTTCCTACTATCTTCTAGCAGGTACATTTTCCCCAAAAGCAGGTCGAGCTAAAGAGGATATCTGATAACTTCTCACATGGAGTATTTGCCTTTTTGAGCTATATGGTCTCGTTGTCCAAGATACTCACTTGATATCGCTGAGCTGTCTGACCAGTGTTTTTGCTGTTTCTCTCCATTACATTACAGACTGGCTGTTGCTGGCCTCAAAGTTAGACTGGTTAGGTAAGTGTCATCCCTTTGGTAACTTTGCTACAACAGTTTGCTTATTTTTCAATGGCCTGGTTTTGGGTATCTTTGGGTATCTAACGGGCGGCTGGTTGCATTGTGGTAGTGTGGAAGCTAGCTATAGCTGATTCATTGCCCCCTGATGAGTGCTTTATATATACAGTATATTTAAATTTAGTTCAGTCAGGTCCACTTTGTCAAGAAGGATACTTCGACGCAGTTATTTCTATTTGGGGTATGGCGTTGTTTTGGGATCTTCCTGCCCTTCCACATACTTATGTGGAAAGCATTAGGCAGAACCAGCACACATTCCTGCCCTTCCCGTGCATACAAGGAAAGCTATAAGGGAGGGAGATAAGCAGCAAACCCAAACAGAGCAAGCATCAATGACAAGCATGACATTGATTAAGTCAGAATAGCATAAAAGGAGGAGCTGGGGTGGAGGAGGGATGCAAATGCATGCGCTTGCGGTTTACACAGGAGCAACAAAGAATTGGCAGGCTAGAACAGTTTAAATAAGGCGGCATATTTGGCCAATAGGATGCTTTGAGCAAATCAGCTGGCCATCAGCTGATGAGGCTTGCGTGAGATCAGCTGACACAAACTCTGGCATGATAGAGCGTGACTCCGTGGCCTGCCTGAACTAACGCTACGCTCAATGTTTGTTCGACAGCTGCGCAGGTAGCCTTGGAGTGTGACTCTGCTGCAGTTTGCTATCCTTCAGGGACATGAGACAGTGGTGTTCCCATGGTTATAGCACTAGTCATTCTTGGGTGCCAGCTTGCTCTGGTGGCTACCTACGGACCTCAAAATCCCTGGAGTGGCCTGATCGCCACGACAGTCTCCCCCACGGTCTGTGCTACAGCCCTGCCCACTTGCTTGCAGTAAATATTCCCAGTGGTGTAGTGCAGTGCACTTATTTTTCAGTCTCCATTGGATATATCCACTTGTAAATCTCCTCTGATTCACACAGTTGATTGATTGACAATATTTTTTAAACCCTACCCTAGGATGGTGAGGGGATGACCCTCCCTTCTCTGTCTGTAATTGGCAAGTACACACTAAAATTATGCAAGAGTAGTCTTAACAGAGGCCATTTATCCTCTGCTGTACAGGACACTTTCAGGGAAAAGTAAGAGAATATTCCCACTTCTCATGGCACCACTACACCATGGAATATTCCTGAAAATGTCCTGCTAAATTCACCCATCATCTCACTCCTACATTTTTTTATAAAGTTTTTAGGGGGCTGACAGGAAAAATTCAAGATCAAAGTTGAGGTAAAAAAATTCAGCAATTTGAGTTTATACATTTATTTCTCCCAAAAAGTAATTAGGACATTTTCAGGAGTTTTGTGCATGTGTGACAATACCGTAATAGGCTTTTGTTGCAACCAAGGCAATGCTGCAATACACGCGACTGCTTTTGTCACTAGAGTTTCTCCAGACACTCCAGCCAGGATTGCCCCATAGCTCACACACTCCCTCTGGGCCCCGAATCACATTCTCACACAGACGCACGTAAACATACTCCTACACTTACTACACACACACTCAGCAATAACAGCCGCCTGTTGGAACTTCCTGGGCCTCTTAGTCATGCGGCACTTGTTTTCAGTCACCCATCGAAGACTCTCGTTCCCTTCAGACACACTCTGCCTGAGACCATATGTCAGAGGAGCTGTGCATTACACACACATGCACGCACTGCACATGCACACTCTTACAAGGTCAACATTAGTGTATAAATGTTGTGTTGATGTGTTGTTTTGTCCTTATCGTGAACACTTGTGCAAGCATCACGGCAGGCACCCCTTCTATACAGTGTTTTCCCACTCAATCAGCACTACATTGATACATAACTGTTTGAGATAACGTCACTGGCAGCCTTAGTAAAATGTAAATGTAGCTGAACGTATGTTTAGAAACTTAATTTGAACAGCCTGTGTTGTCTTTGTGGTCAATGACGGCAGAAATTTTGACTGTACACTTTCCTGGCCTCTTAAAAAAAACATCTGTATCCTTCCTCATCATTAACAATGAAAGTTGTTTTAAATGCAGATATTTAACAGTTTGAGTATTTTTTAACACTGCCAATTTAAAGTCGTTTCCTTGTTAAAATGTCATTGTGATATTTGGTGCACACAGTTCTAACAAACATTTCAACCCTTTCACCAGAAACAAAACGAATGATATTCTTGTAAACTTAAGCTATGCTCTAATATAAATGAGCTATTCTAGCAAAATGGAGGCTGTGGACCTCTGCATGGGGTTGTGATAAGTTTGAATTATGCCGTAACACTAGGATTGTTTTCATTGACTATGTTTATTGTCTCCGGCAAATAATTAACAGACAAAAACCTCCATGTTACATCCCAGTATGGAGATAGAATTGTCTCAAAAAGATTTATACATACGAAATGATATCTATAAATATGCATACATTTATAAATATACAAATACAAATATACAAAAATAAAAACGTGACATACAAATAAATAAACTAATTTCTATGAATAAACGTGTATTTGTTAATATATTTTCGAGATTTGAAAATAAATATGCTTGACTTTGTGTGTGGATTCTGCGTGTTTATCTTGCTGGATAACTGAATGAGGAAATTCAGTGAGGCCAGTATAATATTTCTATTTGTATATTTATAAATGTATACATATTTATACATATCATTTCGATATGTATAAATCTTTTTGAGACAATTCTATCTCCATATCCCAGTAACATAAAAGTACAACACGTAAACTAGTCATATGTCATTAATGTAAGCTAGCTTAATTTACCATGCACGCCAAGCTAGCTTTTATGACATATAAAATTACGCTATATACTGGATATTAAATCAAATCAATATACCAACAGTAAGCACACAATATATTCACTATTAGCCAACCTTAGCATTCTTATGTACTTAACTAAGGTACAGAAACATCATACTAAACATTAGCATCAGTATGGTTATTGTGAGACACTTTGCATGTTGTGATTATGATTTAGCATCTGTGTATCTAGCCTATCCTTAGACCCGCTAGCATGCTGTCAGAAATTTCTTTCTAAAAATTATAGTGTCTCACATTGTAAGAACATTTTAACTTACTAACAGAGACAGAATTGCTGTAGATGCAATGCAGTTGTACTTAAGCATATGACACAAAAGATAGTCTGTTATCTTTTTCTACCCTGCCCTTCTTAAACAGCAACACCTACCACAAACATCCCCCAGAGACACACTGTATATTCTTATTCAACAAGACATTTTCAAACAGATGGCTAATGTGAAATGAGGACAATAGACGACAATTACAAAATGTTTGTATGAGAGGGCGACTGTTTAAAATATTCCCTATTGCTGTGTTGTTTTTGGCATGAATTCTGTGTGTGTAAATCTGTGTCTGTTTGAGTATAGAGAGTGGGCGAGCACATGTTTTTAGTCCTTTTGTGTATGTGTGGGTTTCCAGAGTGTCCACTGGGAACATTTTGAGTGCATAAACATAATGTGTGAGTGTGTGCATGTATATGTATTTGCTCACACATTTGCATATCTTGCAGCCACAACAATCCATCAGCAGTTGGCCCTCTAATCCTAAAATGACTATCAATCTCAACATGATGTGCAGTGTGGGGGAATAGTTGGGGAACATGGGCCTCCTGAGTAAATTTGTGGTACATTTCCTACTTTAACAAGCAGAGCATTTCCAATCCTATTTATTGAATTTGGTGTCCTGGTGGCTTTTGTCCTGGGATACTAAAAAAGCTTATTGATAATCCGAGGGGGGGGATTTTTAATGAAATCCATACCAAGGCCCTTTTCCCACTTTCTTATTTGCTGAACTAGCATTACATAGCATTATGTTACACAGCAAATTAAAAACTGGTGGACCCTTGTGCCCTAAAGTCTGAGAAACAAAGAAAAAGCCCTCTTGGATGCCCCTGTGGTAGATAAAACATGATGAAGTGTCTGCCCAGGTGCCCGCTTACTGTTCAAAGTAAAGTACATAGTAAAGTATCCTCTAGGGTGCCCTAGAGCAGGTGCCCTTTTTATTATTTTTTCCCTTGCCCCTCAAAGATCTTGAGTCCGCCAGTGAACTCAAATGTTCAACCAATTTAACATTTTAGGTAGTTGGTTGAACAAGGCCAAAGTCTATAAAAAGGACATGTTTGACTTATTACAATGTGAGGTCAACCCAATAGTTAATGTGAAATCATGGTAAGGGCCTGGTAAGTCTCCAAGCCTCAAATTGCTCAGAGCTCAGAGTAGCTAAATTATCACACTTCATTGACTTTTTTTCAGTTGTGTAGCTTGATATTTCACCACAAACTCAAACCAAAGTTAATTCAATACCCCTTTCAGAGCCAAGTCTGAGGGGCTACAGTCTCATATTAACATGCCTCTGGCACCCACAGCATGCCAAATACTTTAAAACCTCAGAGTCTCAACCTTACCAACATTTTTTATTAAATAACACAACAAACTGAGTGTAATCCAGATTCTGTTTTACACATTTCTAACATTTAAAGCCTAGGTGTATTTCCAGCAAATTCATCCGACAGTACATGCAGGACAGACCACACACAGAGCCACAAGAGACGTTGTCCCAGCTATGCTCTGACAAGGAAGTGAAACAATTCTCCAAGAATAATTGGGGACAATTAGCACTTGCACAACTTCCTACGTCGGCTGAGATGTTGTTGGTGATTTGATCCTCACCAAATTACAGAGAAACACTACAGAAAACATGCCAGAAAAAGGTTCTCTGAGCACATAAATCACTAGCTTTGTTGACAAGTACAGCTGTTGGATATTTTGTTTGTGTGCTTTAGGCTCCAGAATCATGTACTGATTTATGTTGCAATTACTGTGCAAATTTCAGCTTTTAAACATTTGTTTTTCTTTTTTTAATTTTCCATTATGTCTTGTATATAAGAATATTTATCCTTGATGACAGGTTGGCTGGTTGCTAATATATAATACCCCAATTAAATATACATTACCTCAGATCAGAGATCATGAAAGGTACTTCAGAGAAATCCATTAAACATCATCTGTAGCAATATGTTATACTGTAGTGTGGGCTGTTGAGTGAGTAAATCAATTGTCAAAAGTTAAATATCAGGCACATGTGGAAAATTTAAAGACTTGCCATGTAACAAAGGATGTCTGGGAAATAATGTCTAAGGCAGAAATATTCTGATGGAGTGATGAATCTGATATCTATTAGTTTCAGCTGTGAGACTGAGCTGTTTACAATCCAGTGGCGAGATCCAGAGAGTGGGTGGTCTCTGGAAAGCGCCGGCTTTCATCACAACATCATTTCAGATCTAAATGTTGGCTGTTAACTTACTGGAAGTACTAGGGCAACTTGGCGGAAATGATGAGCATGTGGATGCCGTTGAGAAAGAGGCTTGACATATCAGAGCAGGATGATTACGCATCCATGAAATGTCAGTGTGGGCGTCACATTATGGCTTCATGTGTTTGTTATAAACGACTCAGCCAGGGGTTGTGATGTAATGCGTGTGACTGATGTCCTGCTCATAACAGGTGAGATCAAGCAGGAGAGATGGACCTATAATCACGCCCACACAGTCAAACGTACACCTCACAAACACTCACGCAAAGACTGTGTCTCTGTGGAGGTAAGGCTGACCCACCACAGACCAAAACATGTAGAAAAAAAGATCGGTATACGGAGTAAAGTGGGCAGAGAATTCCTATGGTCTCATGAGGAGTGTAATTAGAATAGCTCTGAAATGGCTCATGGAAATGCTCATAGGTTTACCTTGTGGTTACGTCAATACCACCACTGGTGTGACACGAGCGCATCATATCCGAAATCAGTCAGAGAGCATGTGTGGTGATGATATCGCTACAGGTTGTTCCTGGTGAAGAGATCATACAGTCATTATGACAACAGTATTCATTCTGTCAAGCATCTCAGGATGATTTGTCCAGATATGTTTATCAAACTGCTGTATTTTTCTGTTGTTGTTGTTGTTGTTGTTGTTGTTTTTTCACTGGAAGACCACAGCCGGTTCTAGATATGGACTGGAAAGTGTGGCAAAAACTTGATTTTAGTGGGTGTTCACTGCAAATTCCTGTGGGACTGCCACTTCTCAAACTTTGGCGAGAAACACTGCTGAGTTTATTGTGTGGGTCAAAGAAGAATTTATGGATGTCTGGCACACATAAACATATGAGCATAATTGGCTTTATATTATATTTACCACTTACTTCTTAAACAATGAAGAGTAAATTAAGCAGTTAGAGTTTGACTGGAATATCTAGAATATGTTCTTATTCATTAAAGCCAGAGATAAAACAATAACCAGGCACGTGGGGCGTCATTGGACAGAAGTCTTCTTTACTGAGACAATACCAGTCGGACACACTGAGGTCAGCCTCATGACAACAACTGACCAACACAGTTGTGTGGCCTCAGATGAATCGGTCATATGTCTTTTTATACACAATATACCATGAACATTTACAGATACATTCCTGAAAAAGACGAAATTGTGTGTTTTATGTGTGGGCACAGCAACAGCCCCTCAGTGGCATTGTTATTTGCCCTGTTCGAACTAACAAAACATCTAATTCCATCCCCAGTGTAATAAAAGGGTACTTGAACAGGAACATAAACATCTTCCTAAAGTTGAACCAGATGCTGCTGTACGGCGGAGCGCAGGATTCAGAAAAAGGAGAGAGAAAAGACAGAAAAACAAGGGAGGTACTTTTAGCAGGAAAGTGAGTCAGTACCCAGGCCTGAGTACTTTGAAACACTCATTCCTCCGTTCCTTCGCCCTCCATACCCCTGACCCCTCCCACCTAATCTAGAGCAGGGGGATATCCCTGAGGAGACAGGGGAGAAAAGCTACCCAGCCTGGATTTGATTGTCCGTCGCCTCTCACATGACGTCTTCAGAGGCCTTTTGCAGAGGCAACTCAGTCGCCGCACGCACAGGAGAGGAGGTCTAACCACTGCACGCACAAAGTGCCTGACCCACCCAACCAAACCCCAGCATGAGATGCAAGCTGTCCAGTTCCCTTTAGGGTGCCAGTATGATCTCATTTGGCTTAAACTGGCTATGAGTAAGACTGTGACACAGTTAAGAAAAATCCAAATATTATAAAATGCATGGCAGACACAGTTTCAATGTCTTAGAGTAGTGTGGATTTTTCTTGTATCCATAATAACAAAATAATACAACATGCTCGCATGTCTTGATTTCTACTTTCAAAAGTTGCAAAAAAAAAGGAGACACAGTTGTGACAAATGTTAACTTTATGTTGTTTTGAAATGGCAGTACAAAAATACAAAAAATATGTTGATGCATTCAAATTTCACAGTAGTTACACAGGTAGGTACACATAAGACTGTTATTTACAGGAGGAGGAATTTTCATCTGCTTTGAGTTGAAAGATTTCATCGGATCACTGTAACATTTGAAATGGCTTTTTGTATCATACCTCCTATGTTTACCAGAGTCAATGAACGGCTCTACTGATCTCTGATGGCGGTACGATCTGGTACGTTCAACTGGCCTTAACTGTTGCAGATTCTCAGACTAACATTTTTCTTTCAATCAACATTTTTCCATCAAGAAATGACAGATTTCCAATCAAATCAAAGCAGGAAAACAGTAATGGAATTTCTTAAAATGAACTACAAAATGCTTTTTTTAAGAAAAAGCCAGGCACTTAACAGAGGAGGTATTGTTGAGCTCTTGGGGGTCGTACCAACACTCCAACAAACACAACCAAACCTTTATTTAGAGTGGTCAGCAGGTTGCTGAGAGTTTAGTACAGGATCCAGAGTAAACATGTTTAGACTACAAAGGTTTGTTTAGGCTGAATCCGTTACTCACCTCCAGATAAAAGCTAGTGTACATACAGTACATCTGTCCTGTTATTGTTTGTGGTTCACTGAAACCACACTGGCTGACTATGAAGTGGTACCGATTTCTAAACAAATTGGTGTTGCTTTCCATCAGCTTAGGAAGGAAAACTGTTTGTCTGTGCGAAGTTGAGACTGTAACAACAGCAAAAAAGAAGTTGTAATACACCAATGCCAGTGGCCTCTATTGTACATACACAAAAAACAAAACACAATAAATACTTTTTTTTTCTGTCAGCTTTCCCAAGGATACATGGAATTGTTACTAGGATAAAAACATAAATAGAGTTTGATACCTTCTCCAATAAATAGTAGTGGTATTCTATTTACAATATGCACACATCTCCCAAAGAGCTCACATGACGTGTCTGTCCCCAGACACGTGTTCATCTGCCTGTACTTTCCAAACTAACACACGATGAACAGACATTTCTTGCTGGTTTTTGAAGCTCTTGAGGCAGTCACACTAATGTATGTCTTCCGAGAGAGGACTCTCATTTTAATTGTATTGTCATTCTGTGTACAAAGAGAAGGGTAAGTGATTGTCAAAAAATAAGAGGTCATCATGGGAAATGTTTTGTCGACCGACTCGTGTCTTGAGAACGGTACTTTTCAGGAGCTGTTCGCTCAGACTGCATTTTCCTCGCTGCCATGGAAAACATGGGGTTTCCTAGGAGGATCTGTACAAAAACAAGAGTCAAAATGTACTTGCATGAAAGCTGTAAACCCTTATAGTTACATCATTACAGAGAAGTAATTCAGTAAAAAAAAAAAAAAAAGGGAGAGATGTTATTCCTTACTGTTGCAGTGGCCATAGTGGCGGACTCCTATGGAGCGACCGAGGAAGCAGGTGGCCCGGCGGAGGTGGCAGGCGCTTGGGTAAGTGATGTTGTCATTACCACAGATTGGCTGCTCAGGCGCTATGGGTATTGGGCAAGGAGTTGTGCGGCACATGACACAGTGAGCACTGTTTGTCTGGTCAGTCACACAGGTATGGGTACCTGGACACACCACATTGGAGCAAGACTCTGGAAAGCATGAAAAAGAAGCAAAAAAATCATCAATTGTTTTTTATTTTATTTAAAATTTCATTTGAATAGCTTATCTTTAAAGACGTATAAAATAGATCAATCTTTCTTACTCTTGCAGTCTCCTTGGTACATGACCTCCAGGTCTGGGTGTCCCATGCAGCGGGCCATGAGAAGAGTACACTCATCCTTGTATGACTTTCCATCGCTGCCGCACACAGCATGCTTCGGGATAATGTGGGAGCAGTTTGGATTGCACACACACTGAGGCCTTCCCGTCTTCATTTTGCAAACCTTCCCAGGGCTGCATCTGACTCCCTCACATGTTTCTACAAAAGCACAGCCAGTGGGTTTCATATGAGAGTGAGCACTGCAGGAGACCAGTGTAATGTTACTGTATTAACAAAAGTGCAGACATCAGGTGATCCTCAGGCATTTTCATACAAAACAGGCTGAAGGACCTGGGGCTTTCCCAGACCATAACGCAATCTCCACCGTGCACAATATTTACAATAATCACATCTCCTTATTGACCGTTACACACATGGGTGTCTCGCCGGTAGGAATGTGAGGCTGGTGTGTTTTCATAACAGATCTATGTGTACGGCTGCACACAGACTGGGTTAAGCTCCAGCAGAGGGACAGAGGGGCTCTGAGGTAGACGGAGTTCAAATAACTGTCAGAGCAGTTTACTGGCTGAGAAGTGAGGAAGCCCCAGGCTCCTCCGACACCCCATTGTGTCAAAGCACAGGATGGACTGTAATTCTACACAGTGCAGAGGCAACATGTACATAGAACTCCTCCTTTGACTTTTCAGTCTTCAGAGATGATCAGCTCTCTGTTCTGAGAAATCTGTAAACAATGAAGAACTTAGTTCTTATTTCCTGTCTCTGCCTTCAATATCCTGTTTTATTGTAGAGTTTTATTTCTCCCGCCCTCCTGGTCTTACTTTGTTTGATCTCCATTTCTCTCTCTCTCTCTCTCTTTAGTTGTGTACACACTTTTATGTTTTCTTTCCTCAGAATTCCAAATGATACAGAAAGTGTTGCACATTATGAGTCCCAGACATCTGGGCATGCAGCAGGCGCTCATTCCAGCCTGCAGGAATGTATTTTGTTATTTTGCTGGTGGAGGCAATCATGGATTCTTTTTAACTAGGTTCTGACAAAGTGAGCATAAAATGAAAAAAGGGAAGAAGACAGAACAGCACTTCTAGTATTTAATTTTCCATGTGACAAAGTTATTCTGTATAAAGCTGTAGACTTTCTTTAGCAGTGGTCTCCTCTGCTAATATGACTTTTATCTAAATACAATCTGTCTTTGGTTTATTTTACCCCTGCGAGAAGAGTCAGGGGCCATGGTTGGGTGTTTACTAAAAATGATTGTAGATACATTTTACTGGACTTGGAGATTTTTTTTGCCAATGGAGAACATTTTTGCCAATGATAAAATAGTGCGAGTGAGGCTAATAAAAACCAGAACTTAGTGAACCTGAATGAACCTTGCATTTGAGATTTTAGGAGAAGAAGCCTCTCATGATAGCTGGGTGGAGTCTAGTGGAATGTGTCTCCTGAATCCACGTCTGCATTGTGTTACAAATCTGCACTGGGAACACATTGTGTTGATCACAGATGATGTGGTTTAAATTAACTTTCACTAACTTCAGACATCTTTTTTTGTGGAAAAGAATTGCCATGCTTTTTTTTCCTTTTTTTTTTAAAGTTGGATTTTCTGTTTTGAAGATGCAACTGATATCCCAGCAGTGATTTCAACTCTCAGAAATACTTTTGACATAACATTGGCATGAGCTTTTTACTGGGGTCCAGTAAAATATGTTTCAGAAAGTTTATTCTCAGTGGGTCTGTTAAGAATTTAACTGTGGGCTTGAAGCACTTCAGTTAACTTTTGGGGTTAATACAATGACTAATACTACCTCCCCCCGCAGTGATAAACCAAAAACAAAACACAAGAAACATTCCTTCTCTTCTTGGCAGATCCAACAAATAAGTTCTTTAAGTGGTTTGTTTGTTTGTTTACCTTGGCATGGCTTACAGGAGACGATCCCCAGGAAGCCCAACAGGCTGACCTCATTCATGGGCATGCTGGTGTTGGACCAGGCTGTGTCCAGGCGGCCCCCAGCACAGCACTCCTCTCTGGTCACTCCTCTCATCAGCACCATGTCACACCTCTGGTCCTGGCTCTGCTGCAGCCAGCACATCCCGGCTAGAGAGAGAGGAGTATAAATATACACCGAGCACATCAATTAACCACATATGTACCCTTACACATTTTAAGAAATATATTATTTTTTAACGCGTATCGTGTTTAAATGAATAATTGTCATTCTGACTTCTTCTGGTAAAAAACCATGAAAGAAACTCTAAACTGTAGAACTTTTGTTTTCATTCAAAATGTTAATAAATAGCACCTGTGAATGATGTTTTCTAAATGATTAATGATACATAAATATAAATATGTATACATATACAAAAAAAAGTTTGTATTGAGAGAGTAGATAACCAAACTGGAAAAAGTACTTTTTTAACAAAATATCTACCTTTTCATAGGATAATCAAAGCTTCTCTCAAGGTGGTTCTATTTTATATATTTTTAAAACACACCAAAAACATTCACTCACCACTGGCAGGATTCCTCCCCATCTGGTAAAAAGAGAGAACCAAACAAAAAATGGAGATGAAGAAGCTCATTGTGTTCTCTTGTTAGTAAAAAAAAAAGTTTCTTGAAAGCTTGAGATAGGAACTAAAAGACAAGAAGCTCCTCTGGCAAACACAGCGGATCACTCTGACTCAAGCAGCTCTCTCCCTTATGTGAATGAATGTGTTGTGGATAAGTGATGTCGTTCCCCCTCTGTATAAATATTTAGCCCAGATGGAATTATGCTGCTGGGATGGGCGATCCTCTCAGCCAGTAATAAGCCAGGGCAGGACACAGTTTGACTCTGACTCAATTTCCAGAGTCGGGAAATGATCCATGCCCCGCAGCACCAGACGCTGGGCACTTATATGACCGAACAAAAACTTTTTCACACCAACCGTATCAGGCCCATTAAATGCTCATTAAGAGGAAACAATTAGAGATGTTTTTGTTTTTGTTTGTCATAACTGAACTTTGAGGAAAAGTTTTATCACGCATGGACTGTTTAATTAGTTGCTGTTATTTTGGGGGAAATACATTATAGCATAATCATATATATATATATATATATATATATGTATACATATATATATATATATATGTATACATATATATATATTATTATTATTTTTTTTCAAATTTGCTGTGTCTCAGATGTATTTTCCTGTATTGCTTCATCTTTCTTTAATGTGATTTGGCTCAGAGGTTCTTAATCTCAAATCATTTATTCTTTAATCATTGTGGGTTTCTGTCTATATGCTGCTCTGTCTGGTTTTGGAAGGGAAATAGTCTATATGAAATGCAAATTGAATTTCTTATGCCTTTATTTATGTTCAAACCATAGTCGTTTGAAGTGACGTGATCCAGCACTGACCCTGAATTTGGCCTCTCTGTAGTGTAAATACGGAGGAAGGAAAAGACCACCACAACCAAGCGGTTTCAGTATCTACTAAGGTAATTCTTAAAGTGGCTTCTGGCCATATTGCGTCATAACAGAATAATAAAATAGTACCCAAAGAAAAGCATAATAAATGGCCTTTGAATAAAAAGAACTATATCTCCTCTCCAGCAGTGTCAAACCTCATTTTGTTGACGGTCTAGGTTTATCAATAAATACTAATATTTCACTCCACAGCTGGTGAGAATAATTCTGAGAGAAGAGAGAGCTGTATGAGAGAAAGTGCTCTGCCCTTGAGCAATATTTCAAGTTCAATAAACACAACTGTGTTGGAGCTTATCAAGAACATTCATGTCTGCCCCCTCATTCTTATTCTATGATAAACACATTATAGTATTGTCAATTGATATACTGTGCCTTTTAACTGGAGCAACAGGAATGGGTGTTTAACACCATTTTATACCATAAAACTACTCACTAGAGGTGATACTATTCTGCATTTTCATCACGTCTGATAAGAACATCTGCAAAGCTCCTCTATCTCCTTGCACTCATTCACCCTCTAACACTGAGAGGTATGCACTAATGCCAAAGTAATGAGCCGCCCCATCTGTCTGTCACTGGTTTTATTTTATGTTCCCTTTTGATCGTGGTTGGAAAATGAAGGTAGCATCTGCTGTAGTATCTGTGTCTTTGTGAATGATGTTCCCTTCTTCAGGAGAGATCCCCAGGAGACTTAAAGAATGCTGCCTGACCTAGGAGGGAAGGGGGAAAACGAAGAGAAAGCAGTGAGCATCGGCTGTGGGTGGCCTTCCTCTTCACTGGGACTCTGCAGATCCGCTCAACTCCTCATATGGTTTGGATCATCACTGCCGAACCATACAAATGAATACAGCATGGTGGGGACTTTAGAGCACTCACTAATGTATGATCTTTATTAGGGTGCAGCTTACTGTGTCCTATCTTTGAGAAATATTGGTCTCTTTCAAGTGGCCGGAATCTGAGGGGTAGCTTGAAATTAAAGTAGCGCCATGGTCAACTGTGTCTAATGTGAAATAGAATGAATGCATCTCTGGCAGGGCAGGTGGGGAGCTCAGTCTGTCATACTGTACATTCACTTGTTAATAAAACAGGCAAAAACATCTCTGCCATCTAGTGGATTAAAGAGGAGGTTCTTGTTGAGACTCCCTGTGAGTGTGGCTTGTTTCATTTCATACACATTCAGATTCAAGAGTTTATCTGTGTCCAGTGCTATATTGCATTCTATTGGAAACAGAAAAATGGAGATAAAGATTCTAATGTAAAAGCATACACACAATATCAAACTGCAAGGCCAAATTATTTCAACTAATACCAACAGTTTACAAAGGGTGAAGTGTTAAGCAGGTAAATTAGCTTTAGCCACATCTCCCTTCTAATATCATAAGATTAGATGAACTAATTCAGTGGTTCCCAAAGTGGGGTCGGGACCCCTGGGGGTCGTGAGACACTGAGAAGGGGGTCGCCAAAAGCCTTGCATATTTTCCATATCATATCCCATACTGTACCCATTATTGTGAAAATACATACAAAAAAGTAGTTCATTTAAAATACAACTATATTCAGTAAGTAAGATTAATGCTGAAATGAAAGTGATATGTTAAATCATTTAAAATGTAAGTTTGCACAAAACTGCAACAATATAAGTGTCTGTCACTCCTTATGAATAAAAATACACACCGACATCACCTGTGTGTCTGTTTATTACATTTTGTATGTCCACTTACACCTACTGTTTATACATGGAGATCACTTGTGTTCTGCTTCTAGCCTTTCTTGTAATAAGTGACTAAAATACGGACAGTGGGGGTCTCGAGTCTTTAGCAAAGTTATTTTAATAACTTTACCTACTGACTCCAAGTTAACTAATCCAGCTGAAAAAAGCCTATAACCAAAGAAATTATATTTGTCCAAGTGAATTCTGTATTAACCTACCTCCAAACATGCTCCTAGTTATTCAACAAGTTTAATGAACCTATAATGTTAGCTTACATCTCTCTCCTTGATTTCTAACTCTATCCACTGTCCTATCTCTAAATAAAAAGCATAAAAAGCCCCCAAAACTAACAAAACAAAAATAATAGCTGCATTAGTCGGTAGCTAGTAGGGCTGGTAACATTTGGGTGTCTCACGATTCGATTCGTTTTCGTTTCTTGGGGTCACGATTCAATTGAGAATCTATTTTCGATTCAAAATGATTCTAGATTCATGATTCAAAGTCTATTTTTGAAGTTGTACATACTTCAGGCAGGGAGTGACTGATTAGCCCCCCCAAAAATATAGATTTTTAGAAGATATGAATTTATTTAAATTCTCAGAAGATAAGAATCTCGATTTTACAAAGGCTAAATCGATTTTTCCCCCAACCTCCAGTAGCTAGGCTACTTTTTGTTTAGCCTATACATTTTGGCTATCTAAAATTTTGAGAAATAATGTTAAAAAATGCTTGTTAGCTCGTCCATGTGTGAATACTAGCCTACTTTGAACATTGTTTGGCCTGTGGTAAATTAGAGATATTATTCTTACTGAACATGAATTATCTTTAACTGTCACAGCTGCTGAAACTCACAATAGATCTGTGTGAAGTGTAATTCCTGTGACGTTGTATTGCTTGTTTTTGCACTTCTTTAAATCCAGGTTTTATAGTTGCAGATGCAATAAAAGAATATACCAGATGAGGGCGCTCCTGTATTGCCTCTTAATCTTGCATCATTTCTTCAGCCGGATTTTTGTCCATCTCTGCAGCCTCCGTAACACACCATAATAGTGTCCTCAGCTAGTGAAAATCTCATTAGCCTTTCATTTTATACTTCAAAAAGGTCATTCATTTAATTAATAGGCTACATGTTTTCTCCCAGATACATCTGTCATCTTTTAGAAAAGCACAAGTGATGGCTGTCACAGCTATAGGGCCTGTCTGTGGAATTTTAGTTAGAGTCAAACCAATGAACATTTCCCCCTTTTTGGTCATATTTGCCAGTTTCTGTTTTGCTGTAGGCCTATCTGTTCTGAAGGATACCTTGATCCCTTGAGTCACAAATCTCTAGCTATTGTGTAAGACAAACCATTTGTGTTATAGAGAAATAACATGCACACTTGACCTGTAGAAGCTATGAAGTCTGACTTTATCACAGAAATCCCATGTGTTTATTGTGTTTGGTCAATTGGGAGTAAGAAGATCTTCCAGCCTATTACAATCCACCTGCAGCCCTATCTAAAGTCATAATGCTGGTGGGTACGTCACATGGCTAAACAGCTCTCAGCAGTGGTAATTGCTTTGTCCGACTGGCTGAAAGCAGCTGCATCATCTATCCACTCAATTTACTTCTAATGTGTGTTACTGATTGGACCGGCAATGAGGGCATGAAAAGTGATGGGGCCGGATAGAATCACCCCCTCTGTCCCTCTGTGTGCCACTTTCCTCCTCCTCTTCCACCTCACCCTCGTCTTTCCCGCTCCCTTCCTGTGTTTAGCGTTGCCCATGTGTAAGACTCTCCAGCAGTTAATTAATGAGGAAAGTTAATGTCAGTGCACGCGCCGCTCACACAAACATCCCTTCCACCCACTTCACCTTTCTCCCTCCCTCTCTCTCACATACCCCCCTCTCTCCCCTGATTGCCACCATGGCACCTTTCTGCTCTCTAAAGTCCTCTCTGTGTAAGCAGAGCAGGGCACCGATGTGGTCGTGACTGAGGGTCTCCCTCTGTGTCACAATGACTGCCATTTATATCCGGATCTGTATGTTCCTCCGGATCTCTCCGCTGGTCCCCAGTGGGCGGGAATTACCCCTGGTGTTCATCTTCTCTGTAGCCGCCTCGTGCTTCTGGATTCATGAGGACTTGTAAAAGCTCTCAAGTGTTTTTATTCAACTTGACTTACAGACTTTCATTGACCCTAAGTCTCACAGCTAGATACAAAAGTATGGAGTTTCTCTGAAGTTGCAATTTCGAAGTAGCCTGTAACTGCCATCATGGAAACTAATGGCATCAGTAATGGTAATTAATCTATAGTAAGATTATTAACAACAATTTATCTTACATAGTCATCAAATAAAATCAGTCTACAATTACTGTCGTATGGTGTGATGAAAGTATCAAATTTAGCCTTTTATGGCTAATAACCAGAGCTGACTGCCTCTGCAAATAGTTTGGGTGTGCCCATTACAATATGCTATCCAGTAAATCCATTAATATTTAATTCTTTTTTGTTGGATTACTGGTTGTGGGGGGATGAGTGAAAACATAAACAAGAGTT